TATTTGGTCCACGATTCAGTCAGTAGGTAACAGTTATTTTCCTCACATCACGATGAAACAGTATGATCCAACAAAAAATATTATGATTTCAGTAAAAAGTTCAACAATGAACACAAATAACACGATGAAATATCAAGAAGAAAATGTATGCAAATCTCAAAAAATTTTGTAAACAAACAACACACTCTTTGCCGCCATCTTGTTTTGAAACAGCGCCCCCAACGGTCGATCACCTTGCCAATTGTTGCTTTGAAATATCATACTTCGGGGGACAAACACTGTTAGCTGTTAGTGCTAGTTGATGAAGTAAAATATACATAGGTTCGGTCCTGCGAATCAACATTGTTGAGAACATGCTCAATTTGACCATAAATATCAAACAGTATATTGTAAACTGATATGATAATAACTGTTTCAACCTTTCACAGGCCAGTATATTATCAATGAATATGTTCAACAACCTACAACAGTAGTCCTCAATTTTCCACTGAGCTTGAGATGAGGCTCTTGAAGAATCTCCTTGAGAAAGTAGATTCACCACATTATCGTGACATTCAACAATTTCATTGAGAAACTTCCACTGAAACCGTTGGGAATGACATTTTTACTCGAAAAAAAAATTGTGAGGTTAAAGATTATGTAAAATAGAAAAATGTATTCTCATTCTTCTCCATTTCTTCTCGATTCTAGGCAGATGAGTATTTTGGACACAACCAGAATATAATAATATCAGTGTTGCCAGATCCTCTAACCTCATTCTGTGCTGACGTCCAGCCGCGTTCAGCCACCTATCGGTAAACCCTGGAACCCGAAAGTCTATTTCTGCACACACTGGTACAACCAAATATAAACTTTCGCGACGCGCAAATATAGACTTTCCTGACACGCAAATATATAAAGATTTCGTCATATATAAAATTTGTGCATTTGATATAGACTTTTTTCTATATAAATTCAGTAAAAATTTTATATATTACAAATAATAATTATGAACCAAACGGCGTGAGGCATACTAATATATATTGAAATTTCGTCGCACTTAAATATATAGAACATTTTTCACACGATATAAGAAATTTTGCATATAATATTGATAAGTTCGTATATTATATAGGATTTTTTCTATATTTTGAGTTAAAATGTCTATATATCGAAAAAAATAATTATGAACCAAACGGCGCCCCATACCAGTGCGTCCTCAAAACGCACTGATGAGAACGTCCGGCCAAGACGTTTATTAGTACGTACTGGGAACGTCCAGATTCCTCGCATTTGTACATTCCCAGTACGTCCATTCAGGACCATGAACACCTGAATAAACGTAAATTTGCCTTTTTCACTCAGTTAGTTGAGAAAGAGATCTAGATAGAGTAGAAAAATATGATGAAAAATTTAAAAAATTCTGCTCTTACCGGGGATCGATCCCAGGACCTTTAGCTCTACTTATTACTCTACAGAATACTCATTGATATACCTATCAGTATAAAACAAGAAACTTTTATATAATTAGATTATAATAGTTTTTTTCTCATTAGGTACGACCACAGCTAAACAATGGATTGTGAGAATTGTATTATGTTTATGTTTGCAAGGTTCCTACATAAATAGATCAGATATTGAGGGTAGAAATTATATGCAATGATTTCTATTATCATTATAGAATTTATTCAATCCAGTCCACAAAAAGTCGATATAACGTCCAGAGTTGCACGTACTCAGTACATGGGAATCGTACGTACCCAATACGTCTAGAAATGGACGTTTTCAGTACGTCTTGAAAAGGTCTCGGAAGTTCAGACCTAAATCGGGCCTAAAATGGACGTCCCCAGAACGTCGAATGCTATATGGAATGTTCATTAGAAAGTTTGCTATAAAGTATCTCTTACGCTTCTACGTTCTATTATGACATAACCGGGGTGTCCCAGATTTTTTTATACAGCCAATATCTCAGTTATGTTGCTAGGCAAAAAAAATTGAAAACTCACACTTTCGTCAAACCCAAATAAGTTAACTTTTGTCAAACTATCCCTGAAAATCCACCCCCAACTTCATTTTTTCAAGTTACACCCTATACATTTATTTGTTGATATGTAAAGTGCAATCAATTCTAACTTCAACGATGTATCACACTTGATGATTTGACTGACGTCCAATTGACAGAGAATACTCATTTGGAGTAAACGTAAAAATTGTCTTAGTTGTGTTACGTTATTTGGTTCGAGAACGTTCTCGAATGATCTTCCGTCTCCTTCTTTTTGTTCTACATAGAAGCTTCTTAGAACAATACCTCTCTCTCTATATTTGTTCCATCGATTGTTTCCAGAACATTCCAGAATCTTCTGTCACGTTATTTGTCACCGCGGCATATATTGAGTGTTCGGAAATATGCTGGTGCATGTAGGAATCATTGGGAGGTTGGAGAACAATCTGGGAGGCGTGTTACAGGATGATCGTTGTACTCCTGCCTTCCCGCTGATGTTTCTAGAGCCCCTCTAAGGGGAATATCATTACAGTTGGATGTACAGGGTGGGCCAAATTGGACACTTTTAAAGGGAAAGAAGAAGTATAAGATAGAAAAAAACTGATGTCGGTGATTTTTGAACTAGATATAGGAAGGCCGATTTCAGTGCCTCGAGATCAATTTTCATCACAAACTCAATGCTTTGCAGTTATTTTCATAAGAACAGACAATTTTTGCCAAAAAAATAGGTGACCACTTTTCAAAAATTCCCATTTTCGAAAAACACCTTGTTACTCCGAAACGAAGACAGATATCGATATGCGGATTTTACCATTGAGTTTCCAATTTGGCCCACCCTGTACATACATGATGTCCCACTTGAATGTGTCATCCCTCTTTATCCTCGTAATTCTCAACATATTTTGTTCATGCAAAAAAACTTTCCTGGAATATTTATTCACGAATTTCTTGAATCTGCTCATTTTTTCTTAATATCAACAAAATACAGGGTGACTAAGGTAAACATTTTATACAGGGTGTCCCACTAAGGTCGGCCAGGTACGAAATTTTGGAAACCATAAACCTTACAGCTTCGGGCAAAAAAATCTATGGACAAATTCGGCGATGAGAAATGGATTCAAAATGTTTTTAAAATGACCGGTAGGGGGCGAAATTACTATGATACAACGGGAAATTCGAATTATCTCAGAAAATTATTCTGTAAAGTGATTTTTCGTTAACGGAAATGGAAAGATCATTAATTTATTGTTGTGTTGTTCCCTAGACTTTTTTCCGTATCTTGAATAATAATGGTGGGAGAAGCATATGAACAAAATATTTTTCGAATTGCTGTATCTTCCAGACCCCTTATCCAAATCCAACCACCTTGGGCTCGTTTGGAAGATAATTTCACAGTGTATATACAGGGTCGGGCATTAGTGCATTGAAGTTCGATTGCCCGAGTTCTATGATAGCTAGAAACTTGATTCAAGAACGAAAGTGAATGAGATAACAAGTCTCATGACTAAAAATTATTGCCGCATATACAGGGCGCACCGAAAAAATCTAGAGGATCAGGATGATTTTTTTTATGGAATGCCCTATATATTAGCACATTTTTTGAAATATCCCTGTTACCTCTATTCACCCCTATAATATCGATATCGTTGACTTTATCTCGATCCTATAGAAGTCATGATTTTTTTTGTCAAAATAATGTAACCTGCAGATGCATACCAAAAAAATCACTGTCGTTATTTGATAAAATTTTAATACCCTCAAATCATAAAGGGTGGCTGATAATGATTGTATTCTATTCGGAACTTCTCGAAGAATTGATACCAGGATCAACGAGAACAGAAAGAGTTCATATGCTAGTTTTTCACAATGTAAATAAGGACAAAATTTCCATTTCTCAAATATCCCATAAATTCTTGGACATTGAAAACAAAACCAGGATAATTGAGAAATGTAAATTTCTGTTTTCGCTTCGATTCTGGCATCAATTCTTTCAATAAAAAGAACTGGTTTACTAAACTATTGATTAAAGTTGCGATGTTTCAATAAAAGAGAAGAATATGTATCAATGAAACAACCTAAAGTTTTCAAAGTTCAATAACACAACTCTACCTAATAATAACAATTTTAATGCCAGGAGAATAAATTGTCTACTATAATTTTAAATAATTTATTCAATAAATATATCTCTATGTACAATTTCATTTACATCACGCGGTTCCTTAAAATTTCACATTGGAAATAATACAGCATGTCTTTTAACTTTAACATCTTGTTGTCGATCACAAGTTGTTTTTGTTTTATAAGTGAAAATAAATATCAACAGTGAGTACTATATACAATAGGTTATCTAACTAAAAATCACTAAGTATAGGTATAAAAATAATACTGAACACTTGAAAATCTCAAGACACATACATTAAGTAAACTAGCTGTCGGAAATTTCGAACTGTTCGAGAAAACAATTTTTTTAATTTCAGAATAATTATGAATTGACCGATCTGAAATACAGAAGGAGAGTTTCTGAAATTCAATCAACTATTCTGAAATTAAAATCTTGTATTACAAATACAAATGGCTGTACAGTTATTCATTATTTTTTATATAGTAGCTACTTGAAATCATGAACAATTGATAGAAACATGAGGATTTTCGATTTCTCACATTGAGAAGAATAGTTGAACATTTTATTTTATTCTTACAGTTCGACTTATTTGTATAGATATCAGCAACACTTTTGAGATTACATGTAATTTTTAAACGAAACTTCATATGAAATCAACTGTTCGATATCATTATTACCATAATATTATCATAATTCGATATCCTAAGTACACAAATCAGTAATCTGTAGTGTTCTGTTCTTTATTTTCGTTCGACACATAATTAATGTTGCCAAATACTGTAATTCAAGCTTTTATACATTGTGAAACAAATACAATTGAAGAATAATATCTGTTCAATGATTGAAAACTTATTATACATATTTTCATTATAAAATTGATATGTGAACACTTGATTCCTATCCCATCTTTTCTTATCGGTGTTCACGATGTTTCTCGTTGTATTGCCTTGATTTTGGGCTTCCAACATGTTTCTTTGAAACTTGTGAACTGCGTGAACTTTTGTACCACCAATCCATTCAAGATGGTCAAATTCAGAGATGAACCATTTTCTAAATTGGCACACGATGGTAAAAAGCAAAATATCATCAGTGACTTAGTGAGCCCTCAGACAGAGATTATACACTCTGCCTCAGATCTGGACTTCACTTCTGTGGTTTTCCTGCGCCATCTAGCGGGTGATCATTCCCGCAAATCTCGTGAGGTCATCCATAACGCCGGCAGGCACCTGTTGCGCAGTGACCTGTTGCGCGTGTCACCTCTACCCAGCCGTATGTATATACGCTAGTACAAACAAAATATCATCAGTGAGTCCTCAGAACAGGACTTCACTTCGGTTACAGAGTGCTTCGGTGGTTTCCCTATGCCATCCACAGAACTAAAACACGTTCTGTGGTGCCATCTAGCGGGTCTTCATACTCGCGAATCTCGTGAGGTTATCCATAACGCCGGCATCTACGCGCAGTCACCTGTTGCGCGTTGACCTGTTGCGCATTGTGTCACCTCACCTCTACCGATCATGAATGTACCTGCCCCAGTCGCCCCAATGTGCCCCAATTGACGATGGTGTGGAGCAGGGCGGGCACCAGACAGCCTAGTGTCGTCAAGAAGATCAAGGCCGCGGGGTCGATGAGCAGGCCAAGATTGTAAAACATGAAGAAAACATTAGTGCAATGGTAAGCTTTTTGTCAAGTTGAAATTTGTTCATTTCAAAATTGATAGTTTCAACACAAGAGAGTTATTATATGGGTTGCTGATCTCTTTGATTTATAAGTTTCATGTATTTTTATTCGCTATTCCTTCGTTTCGTAATGGTGTCGACGTTGATTCCCGTTGCGTTGTCCTGATTTTGGGTCTTCAACATTTTACATCGAAACAATAGATCATAGTCCGATTGTAATGAACTTCAAAATGGTTATGTTCAATGTCTTTCGCTTTCTAATTTGGCTCCTATTCCGAATGTACACTGGTACAAACAAAATATCATCAGTGAGTCCTCAGAACCGGACATTCACCACGGTGGTTTCCCTGCGCCATCTAGCGGGTCATCACTCTCGCGAATATCGCGAGGTCATCCATAACGCCGGGATCTATGCGCAGTCACCTGTTGCGCATTGTCACTCCTGCTCAGCCAATCCCGGACCACGGATCACGACTCTTGCCCACCAGCGAATCCCTTGATGGCGTAGAAGGCTCCCGAGGCGGTGCCGAACAGCGAGAACATGCACAGCAACAGGTCCTTGACCAGGATGTAATTGTACCTGCCCCAGTCGCCCCAATTGACGATGATGTCGAGCAGGGCGGGCACCAGGAAGCCCAGCGTCGCCAGGAAGATGGAGCCGGCGAGGTCGATGAGCGGACCAAGATGGTGGCCGGCGGCGGCGGCGATCGCCACGATGGAGACCACGAGGAGGGCGCGTGCTATTACTTCGGCCACGGGCAGATGGCGCTGCGGCACTAGAGGGCGCAGGCGGCGCATGGTGATGTCGGTTGGCACGTAGTATTGGAGCATGAAGGTGAAGAAGACGGAGGTGGAGATGGAGGCTTGCACCACCTGGGCCATTCTGGAAAGCACGAAATTTACTGTTATGTTTGTTCTGTTCAGAGCGAGAAGTCGTATGGTGTCATATTTAATTTTGTTTATCAAGTTTCAAGTTAATTCTCCCTTTAGTTCGAATACAGTTAAAATACATTCAGTTTATTACAACCATTCATGTGAGAATGTATGCACCTATAAATATCAATAATACTTGTGTGGCGCTTTGCATTCACCATTCAGGGTACCTATTCAAAAATGTAAAAACTTCACAAACGATAAGATTTCCACAAAATTCTCAAACACGCACGACATGTAACACCGTAGCAGGTGATATACTGGTACAATGAACTAAACCAACGTTGGCTTGCTCAACTTTTATATATCCTACCTTCCCAACCTAAAGGATTAGTTACCTGTAGACAGGTACGATAATCCTCCATTTTCGGAAATTAGACTCAATATCTACATTAAAATATGGTGTACTGGATTAACTTTTGAAAGATTTGATAGCACATACATATTATTACTTACTAAGAAAACAAATTCAACAGTGGTGAACTATTGAGGTCTTATAGATCGTTAAGTAAAATGTCAGAATTTTTGAGTTTGTTGATTTCTAATGGTTCAAAATGATTGAGTTCCATTCCTTTATTTTCTACGTGTAGAATTTCGAAATTATCATCAAAACTATGGTTTTCTTCTAATATATGGTTGACGTATGTTGAATTTGTTTTCTTATTCATGAAATTCATCTGATGTTCATGAATGCGCTGACTGAACGTACGACCTGTCTGAGAGGTATATACCTTTGGACAAGATCCACAGTTGAGTTTGAATACCCCTGATTTTTCGAATTTAGAAGTTTTGTCTTTATTATTCTTGATAAACCGTCCCAAAACGTGTTATAATTTGTTCTACATGCCCCTTTTGAGTCCTGTTTATGTAGATATATATTTAAATAAGAAATACATTGAAAATTCGTATTCTCCATGTGATGAAAATATCAATTCTTTCACGGTTTATTCAACAGAAAACAACTACTTTCCTGGCTATATGCCACGACGAATATTGAATTACATCTATTGATCACACACGATGAGAATTTGAAAACCAAATCTTCTGAAAAAGAGAATTTACATTCTCCTTCATATAAAGATATGCATATATAATATAATTCTGAATATTCAACAGAAAACAACTACTTTCCTGGCTATTGGCCACGTCGAACATTGGATTATATCTGTTCAATATCCAAAAAGAGAGCATGGAAGATCAAAATCCTCTGAAATTGAGAGATGATGTTATTAATTCCTATTGTCACTGAGAACTGAAAAGTTTCAAGACAGATACGACTTTGCTATCAAAATAACCATTTTTTATGTTGAAAACGGGAGCAGATTCGGTCCCGAAACGTCCAAATATAAGTGAAAATTTGATATTTTTTCTATATACCTTTATTCCTCTTCTCCAAACTCTTTTTGATACAAATTGTCACTGACAAGCTAGTGAATTTTTCTTTTGGGCTCTCTGATAGGAAAATTCTTTAAACGCAGTGACATTTTGGGGCAAATCATCTGATTTGGAATAATGAATCTATTGAAATATAGACCAACGGTTACAGTTCATGATAACTTCAAATCTACCTGTTTCGACACAAATAAGACCATCAGTTAGGTGTGTTTCTAGGAAGAAGTAGAAGTCTCTTGAAAATAAAAAAGGAAGAAGAGAAGCTCTCAAAGTCATCGTAGGTTGGATTTTACACGTTTTTGGCTTCTTCTTCTCCAAACATTTGATGATATTGAATTCCTCCAGAGATTTTGATTATCAAAGCCTACAGTGTTAGCACTACTACAGAAGATTGCTCCTCTGAAATCTCTTCCAACTAATAGGTATGCAATTATGCAATTATTCTACCAGATCGCTAGTTTTCCATGTGTAATTGAAGCTATCTACTGCACATTGATTCCAATTGACTCAGTTGGAGATGTTGAAGCAGAAATATATCGATGCCGAAAAGGATATTTTGCAATGAATCTTCAGACTGTGTGCGATGCTCGATTGAAAATTTTGGATATTGTAGCACGTTGGCCCGGCTCATGCCATGATCAGACTATTTTCAATAATAACAGGTTGAAACAACAATTTGAAGATGGAGGATATGGGAGACATATTTTATTGGGAGATGCAGCACTGTCCGTTTTTTGTGCACTGCTCTGTTTTTTTTTTCGAATTGTACTCACATGTCTTCTGAAGGCAGATTTTGAGTGATGGTGGCCTCTGTTTTGTCTCCGAAAGCAACATACCCGAAAGAACCCATGGCGGCAAACACCGTCACTATCACAGACATGCCCATGTTCAGAACACCCGGACAACCCACGAACTTATCCATCACCATCGAATTTTCTACTGGCATTATCGTCCCGATACCTAAAATATTTGAAAAAGACACTTGAGATTCATCAAAATAGTAGGTACCGTGTAATATAGTAGGTACCGTGTAATAAATTAGTATATTATTATATTATTTTGGCGCACCCAGGGCTCAGGCCTGGGAGGGGCACAATGTGTCTAAAAGACTTGCATTTTGACCCTAATAAAAAAGAGGTAAATAAGCAAACTGTCGAAAATTTAACGAATATTTTTCATTTTTCAACTATACAAACTAGGTAGGTAATAAAACGGGAATTTACAAAACAAAATCCAGCCTCCTAGGTCCTCTCTCTGTCAAAATATTCAATACCTCATTCGTATCTACATGTACCTCACTATGGATATTCAAATCGGCAAGGCCATTCAGCCTATTTTCTCCCATAGTGTTTCTCAAATATGATTTGAGCCTTCGTAAAGTCGAAAATGATCTTTCTGCTGTAGCTGTTGATACTGGCAATGTTGAAAATATTTTGAGTAATATAAAAATATATCACGCTTTGCGGATTTTTTTCTAATCTCAATTGTGAAAAAAAATCTCAGAAACCGAAAGTATTTTACTATAATTTGGTAAATTACTGAATAATTTTCGGTATACGCTGATCTTCATGTAGGAATACCGAAAAATTAGTAGGTTTCCTTTTTGGCAATGGTTGTGTGTGGTCGCGGGCAGTTCTTTGGGGGGGGGGGGGGCACGTGCCCCAGTGCCCTCCCCCTTGTGTGCGCCACTTATTATTATCAACTTCGATTTTAATTATTGTCTTTGTCAGTATCTAAGAACAAAATTCGAAATGTTGCGTTATACCAGGTAATTAATCATGACAAAGAAGTTGGGAATATCAGAAAAAATATTGCCTAATATTTTATTCATTATTTTAAGAGGTTTATTTGATCCTCGATTTGATCACCATGACTATAAGGAAGTACTAATAAACTGCGGTCATGACGACTGATATTTTGATTTCTTATTAGCATTGTCTACCACAACCAGCAAAACATTGTTTTCACTGTTTTTTTGCACTGTTATTTATTTATGTGATAATGTCGATATATAAGTACAGTCGCATTAAAAAAAAGCGTACAAGTTTATTACAGAGAGAAATTAACGTCATCCTATTCTGCATAAAACGAGAATGATTGTTCACCAAATGACAGTAAAAGTTGTCATAGGTTCTTGAGAACACAAAGCATTGGCTGAGGCAGTTTTACACAACTAGAACGGGAAAAAAGTAAATTATGAAAAGTGACATTTTATAACCTGCCAACAGAGATGAAATGCCAAACTTTTGTCCCGTCACAGAAAATAGTAGATTGTTTTATTAGGATCAAAAGTGACACTTTGTTTGACAAACGCTAAACGCTCCGCCTCGCAAATGCAAAATTTGTGAGTCGCACAAAGTCACTTTTGATCCGAATGAAACATGCTATTTTTTCTGCAACCGAAACAATTAACTCAAATGAACATGTGAAGTAATCACCAATGTCGTGCCATATGTATGCAATGCAACAAATATTGACAAATAATCCATGTGATGAGAATATTCTACCTGCATTAACAGCAGGTTAGGTTTTCTAGGATGTTCGAATTGTAGTTTCAATATAAATAAAACCACAGAGTGACATATTTGTGTATGGACCAGGTGCTCTGATGGCAAATACCGCGCCAGTGCCAGCTATAGGAACAAGACGTGGAAAATGTTAGGTTAGTGAGCATATCAACAATGATAATAGTGATTATTTTTATTCCTCTCCATACTATACTGTGTATGACTTGATAATCAAATGAAGCTGAACAATATCGTTGTTTGAGACAAAAAAACTATTGCTTGCCGTGATTATTCAAAATTAAGTTATCCATCCCGAGAATAACGAATGAAATACAGATCAAGCAAGTATTTGAATCTTGAAGGCTTCCCTGATCAAAACAAAAATACATAACTGAGATGTTTATAATTCCGATACTAAACTATAATAAGGTGTATTTATATCTCCAGCATGGGTATGAAATGCCAAATCTGCTGAAATCGGAAACAAATCAGGTATGCGTCTCAACCCAAATAACCAACCGTCACAATGTTGTTCATTCTTGATGACGTCCAGTACATCCTTTTTAGTTCCTAGGAGCTAAAGTTCAACTTTAGCTTCTAGGAACTAAAATTCAACTTTAGCTCCTAGGCGAACTAAATATGTTGCCTAGCAACATACCAATTTTTGTGTCAGTAATAGAAACGTCAATTTAAGAGCTAATTTTGGTATCAAAATGGACGACTTTTGTGTCGGTTGCAGAAAAAAATATTTATTCGTCTGAATTTTGTCATGTCATCCATAAAGAGATCATAACATATCAATTATTTTAATCATTCACCCACTCAAACAAGGATCAGCTCAAACTCTGAGAACTACTAGGATAATTATTATACCTATATACCTACTACATTTTAAATGTAATGTAATACATTATGGTTTATTTTTTAATGTTCCCTGTTATGAACATGTACGTCAATTGTTTCTTGGGAATAATAAAGATGATGATGAATCGTACCCTCCATGGCAAATATGACGGTGCTGAAGAACACCGGCACGCCCTCGATGCCGTTGACCATCGTCCTATCGGCGATATTGACGTGCGCTATCTTGACGAACGTGTAGTACAGGGTGATGCCGAACGCCACCGCCATGGTGGCGTTGGCCACGAACGAGAAGGGCACCAGGTGCTTGAGCTCGCGCACCTGGCAGCACAGGATCAGCGGGCAGAGCAGCATCAGCTTGATGTAGTGGCCAAATACGTCGTCGGCGGCGGGGGGGTAGTAGGGCACCACCAACTGTTTGGACATTACGTTCATATTTTTATGCACGACCAGGCGTAAAGTAGCACTTTACAGCCCGGGCGTAAAGTAGCACTTTAAAGCCCGGACGTAAAGTAGCACTTTACAGCCCGGTTTTGCGGGCGTAAGTGGCACTTTACTGCCCAGCGTATAGAAAACTCGTAATAAGCATTCTTGTACACTGATTTTCAGAAAACATGTTGCAATTGGTAGTTCTTCAAGATTGTTGTGCCTCTTACTGTAACCAAGACGTATTGAGAAAGTGTGTCAATTTTGTGTTAGGGAAAATGGACATCAAGTTGAACAATTCAATGAGTAAGTTACTGAATAATTTCGAAATTCAATTGTTCAAGTACCCATAATATTTAATCAGGTGCCTATTCTACATTATGAACTTTTTATTACTATTTAAATATAAGTAGTAAAATATGAAATTGCATAGTTGGAGTTGCTGGGGTTTAGGGGGATGAACATATCAAAAAATGTACTCACCCAGAAACCGAAATTGATTGTCTCGAAGAATTTAGAATACAATCGTTTTTCTAATTCAAGGGGCGGTCAAGATTTAATTTATAGCCCTCGTATGATGAAAATATAGTTTGTTCACACAATTTCAGCCAACATCTACTTCTCTCCATAATGCTTTATTTTTTATACATATATACCTTGGTCCCATTTCCATATAATTAATAGTAACGAAATCATGATCTGATTTTCAAAACTGTCGGAAAAAATGATTCTTATTTGAATTTGCCATCATTTCGATTTCAGTTGAATTCATGTAGGCACTTATTGATGATTTATAATGATTTATTGTTTGTCCTACTCATTAGAACTGGTATTGAATACAAAAAACAATTCTGAGTCAGAAGGCAATTGAAAGCGATTGGTTTCTTTTTTTATTGGTGATCAATATGAAAACTATTCAAAAATTTCAGCATGCACTTGGAAAAGTGCTGACATCAGATATAAGACGATGAATTTGTATTTTCCAACTATTCTACACTGTAATCAAATATTTGGGAAAAAGAAAGCAATAATTATGGTTGAATTTAACGTTGGATGTGTCTGAATTTGTTTGTTAATTTCTCGTACCTTTTGGATAGATTCCGATATAAACACTATGTATACTGAACATCCAACATTGTATGTCAGGACTAGAGCAATCTCAGCGAAGTTCCTGAAACAAAAATATATTTTCGTTACACAGAGTGATATTCAACAACATAATTAGTATGGATATTTCACGAGTGCTGAAACTTTTGACTCACGTTATAGTAATTAAAACTCGTTACCACTATATTTATTTCGATATAATTATCATGACAATGAACATTATAGGGAACGTTAAATTATCATGTAAAGTGGAATGGAACCATTACGAGGATATCAACTAACCATTACCAAAAGAAGCATTAAAAACCTACATGCTTGTGATATTATTTAGCTTTCAAGTACCTATACATTGGAATTAGAGGTGGTAACGACATTTATGTTTATGATTACATTTTCGACCTGGTTGAATCAGCTATCTAGATGTTAAGTGTCGACGATCCTTGACGATTTTTTGAGTGTCAAGTATAAGATACTGTTTTAATTTTTTTTATTCCTAGTGTATAGTTTTTACTAATTATGGAATTACGATTTTTCAATATTTATCAGCCAGCAGTGCATGGACATATCAAGGTATTTGGATGATAAGAAATTGCTATTATCATGGAAAAGATGAAATGTGATTTAATAAGAATAAATTATACTTTATTAACTCTATTCAATATACAATTCAAATCAGATCATTCGAAATCAGAATGTAAAATTAATAATTGTATATCTACAGATGATTATCTCAAGCCCTCAGCTATCTCACAATCATAGGTTATTTGTTCAGTTTTATACGAAATCATTATACTGACGCCTTTGGTGTTTATCAGGAGATTAGAGGATGTCACTGATTGTGATTGATCATTATCAGATTGAAAAGAGATTCGATTGATTGAACGACGCGACACCTTGAATATCTCAGAAAAAACATGATGTTCCATAAGCGGCGTGAATCGATTATTTATACAGGGTGTTAGTGAATAAGTGCGACAAACTTCAGGGGGTAATTCCTTGTGATAGTTCAAAGAATAAAGTTTATATAAACATGTGTCCTAACTTGCTTTATTTTCGAGATACAGGGTATTAATATTTCCATGAAGAATCGTTTTTTTATTCATTTCTCAAATAAATGTCTTTTTACCAATTCCAATGAAACTTGGTGGTTTTGTTGAACGTAACATGGAGCTTCTTTTGATGTCATGTCAAGTTCATGAACTATGAATTGTATTTCTGAAATTTGATCTCAAGACTACAATCTATTTATCTGCATTGTGATATTGTCATAGTAACGATTTTGCTATAATCATGTAATATGCTTTTTATTTTTTTAAGCGAAAATCGTGCATCAGATTGAAAAAATTGTAGTGATCGAATTTGCTTAGAAATGATTGGGAATTTCAGGAATGATTTCAATTTCGAGATTAATCAGTGGCGTACCATCAATGTCTGCCAAAATAAGTATGTGAAATTCCATACGAACGCCACTGGTGGCAACCAACGAAAATGTGGTACATTAACTGATGCCTCTTGATACATAGTGCATGTATGCCAAACTTCATTAGAATATCTGAAGTGGTATCACAGATATCAATAAAAAACTTTTAGGTCATACGTTCATATGAAACTTTCATCTTAGAATGGACCCAAGAATCTCTTACCCAATTATTGACATTCAATTATGAAACACCCTGTATAGGAAAAATAATATCATAATATTTTATTTCCGTATGAGGGAGGGAATCGGCCAATCGGGTATCATTGAACCTATTATTAGGTTACTGACACCTTTCAACAAAATTGTCTAGTATTTTCTCAATGTATTTTTCTCAGTAACGAGTACCTAATCTTTAATTTCTTGATTGCCGAAGGTATCATCCCATATTATGGTGTCGTGTATTGAATAAATTAGTAAGTAGGTTTCATAGATAATACGTTGTTCAATCTGAAGTAAGTAAAGGTCGCCAATCATCGAGAGGATGTCATCGATATCCTTCCTATTGTTTTTTCACCTTCATTTTATGTTGCTACTTTTACTGATCATGCAATCAATTTATTTGTATTTGAATTTATCCTTACAAAGCAAAGTGCTTTGTTGTTTTGATATAATGGATTATATTGAAGGATTAGAACAGTCATATCAGTATGTTTGATAACCCATGAAATGGTAATTTTGCATTTTGTAGGTATATTCGAAATACCGAGCTCTCAAACCAGAATAATGTATTGATATATTTGCATATACCCAGTGCAGGCATGTTCGTATTACTTCTCTGTGAGTTCAGAACGGCATTTTTCATTTTTCAGGAACTGCTCATCAAAAATGATGAACTATACCCAGCGAGCACAAAAACATCTCAGAGATGTTAAAAGTACGAGATTTTGAGACATTGAACCTCCACTGCGATGTTCTGTTCACACATGAATAGAACTACTATAGAACAGCCAATGTCCGCCGCAGGCGGCAATTATAGAGATGTCCGTGATATGTCACAAAACTACCTTCTCCCTAGTTCTTTTTAAAGCCTTTTCATGGACACAACAGAACATTTTCAACGCGTCTTGCGCACATTAAATCGCTGTAAAAAACCATTTTCGAGGTACTTTTCTGAAGCCTTTTGTCAAAATGAACTTTTGCATTAGGATTCCATTTCCCTTGAATGAAAAAATGCATTAAAAATAGATTGAACATTAAAATATTTTCTTGATATGAAATAACCTTCTTAATCGGTTTCTGAGTAGTGCTTACTACACACATACATATAATTGGAAATAGGTTTCCCAATTTTTGAAATGTTCTCCACAATGCATAATTTTGCAACTGCGGAGAAGCTGTGTATTGATGAATTCGTACTTTTATATATTGATTACACTGAGGCACCGAACAACACATCTTGCATCTGATGGTCATTATTACAAACTAAATAAGTCTTCTAACACAATGAACTTCACCAAATTCCTTTCTGTTCGTTAGCAGCGTGATGTAAGCGTGACACGCTGCAAACGCGAATGCCAATTGCGAACAAGAAGAACAAAATCGAAAACAAGTCAGAACTCATCGTATTGTGACGTAAGCATGAGACGTTGTGGTGGGGCACACAAAGAAAGGACACAAAAGAACAAATACAATACTTTCAATATCCTTCTAAGACCTCTTTGGGAAGTGCATATTACGCCTCAAAAAAACATCCTCATGCCTACATTTCTAAAACATCCCAAAACATCCCAGGGATACCTCTCAGTAGGCAAACAAAGAAATGCCACAGAAGAACAAAAACAATACTTCAATATCCTTCAAAGACCTCTTTGGTCAGTGCATATTACGTCTCAAAATAACATCCTCATGCCAACATTTTCAAAACATCCCAAAACATCCCAGGGATGTTTGAGCTCGCTGGGTAGATTACTATTGGAAAGAGAATTGAACGCCCTTAAAAATAATGTGCATCTGGACTCCCTTTTTATACAGGGTGAGTCAAATTTTCCCGATTCTGAAGTCAGTCGATTAGAGGATAGTAGCAGAATATCCCATGAAAAAATCAGACGAATCGAAGATGCTGTTCGAAAGTTATGACCAAAAGATGTTTTTGCTATATCTCATAATTCACCCTACATATTGGAAAAGAAGTGAAGAAGAAACTTTATGATGGACATTAGGTATTTTTCTCAAGTGCCTCTATTTTCGTGGTAGGAGAATGTACAGTTCTTCATGACTCACCCTGTATAATATTCTCTAAAGGTAACATCTGCCCCTCCTAAGGGGTTGAACCAAGAGGGCTAAAAATATTCATTATAAGTGACATATTATTTACTGGGAGGAAGATTTATTTATTTATTTATTTATTCATTTATTTAATGTTACACTGTTCTACAGGTTAAACCCAACTACAGAACAGGGAAATAAGTATAACTAATAATACAGTTTTTCATATTTTGAAAAGTATATAAATATAGGCAAGACCTTAGCTGAAATAAAAAGATTCAATCGCAGTGATAGAGCAATGAAAGATATCTGGCTGATTATTTGATGAATTATTGTATATAGAACACATGTTATGGAGAGGAGAATATTTCAGAATATTTGTTCGTGGTGTCGGAAGATAGAATGTATTGAAAACTCTAGAAGTTTGTCTAGGCACAGTGAAACTCAGCTTCTGCAAAATGTGTGAGTCAGTGATAATGTTATTCACCACTTTGAAAAGGAAAACTGCGGATTGACAATCACGACGGCAACTGAGGCTTTTCATAGCATGTCTAGCTAATAATGTATCATGAGGAAACTCGATTGGTGGATATAAATTATCAGATCTATAGGAAAGAAGTTTTAGGAAACGACGTTGTACTGATTCAACTTTCTCTATATACGGCTGATGAGACGGATTCCAAATTGAAGATGCATATTCCAGTTTTGATCTGACGAAGGCATAATATAATGTTTTTGATGTGGCTGAATCAGAAAAATCTCTAGAGATCCGCGCTATGAATCCATACATCCTGTTTGCAGCAGACAAAGTAGCTTCAATATGCAGTAATGTAAGCGGACGTTGAAGTATTGTATCACTAATATCATACGGAAATAAAATGAGTTGATTTCTAAGTGTATATGTCATCACATTACATTTGCTAGCGTTCAAAGGTAATTTGTTACTGCAACACCATTGTTCAACGCGTTTCAGATTTAGAGATAGCCGTTCACAATCCTCAATATCATTTATTTGACAATATATCTTTAAATCGTCTGCATACATCAAACAATTGACATCAATTACTTCGATAATGTCCATTGATAAAGGCATTGAAGAGTAGCGGACCTAGGTTGCTACCTTGAGGGACACCCGAGGTTGCTGCATATTCGACAGATTTGAAACCATTGAACATAACATATTGACGCCTATCAGTAAAATATGAAACAAACAGTTGGATAAGTGCCAAGGAAAATCCGTAACGGTATAGTTTCGATAAGATATTGAAGGTGGGAAGTTTTCATAGTGTCACCTGTATGTATTCGAATAGATACTTCGTGGTGTTCTAATGTGATGAAAAAATATTGGGACTTTATTGAGCCACTTACTTTGCAAAAGTCGACCAGCTCTGGAACTGTTTTGGTCCGTTCTTGAATACTGCCTCGGCCGTTTCTGCATAACCCAAACTCGGCGTTTTCGATTTGATGCACATTTTCTGCGATGCTTTCACCTACAGAATATAGAGACGTCAAACAATATACTCTAAACGTAGTAAATTTAGAAAATATTATCATTACCAAATACTTATAATCCTTCGTTAGGAGCGCGAAACTTTCCTACGAGTTTGCTCACTATTTTGACAATATGTGACACGTACCTATCGTCACAAATTGATTATAATATGTATATTACGTAATATGTGTTGTAAGAAGCATATTACGCACGTAGCCGCGGAAGGGCGAGTGCGATATTGCTTTACAACACGCATAATGATTCACACGAGACCAACGAGGCGAGATTTTCATGAAGTCTCATCTCGTCTCGCTGATGGAATATGAAGTCTTGTCTCGAGTCTCGTCTCGCAGCCCCGAGTCTCGTCTTGTCTCGCGTCTCGCACGAGAGTCTCGCAAATGTATCGTAATTTCGTTATGCATAATCTTGTTCCAGTCTAGTACGCGATATTTACCATTACCTACTTTTTAGGTATCATGTAGAAGTAGGAAGATAAAATTACAATAAAAATAACATTATTTATTGAAAAGTAAGTACATAATAGGTACATTCTTAATTACAAAAAACATAGCATTATATATTCTAGGGTTAAAAAACTAGAATAAAAAGTAACACGAATTTTCTAAACAAATAAATAAAACAAAAACTTTAATCCAACATTATTCCGCCGTAAGAGAGAGAATAGTCCGTTTTCGTTTCACGCATTACGTCGTTTTACAACAATTATGGATTGTGTCTTAAAAATATTCATGAATGAAATGTTTTGTCTATCTGTGCTGAATAGTCTGAATTCTTCCTAAATATGTTGTATTATGTATGAAAATCTCAAGTCTGCAGTCTCCACGCAGAAATATTTACTTGCGAGACTCTCGCACGAGACACGAGAAGTCTTGCACGAGACTCGAGACGAGACCAATAAAAGTCTCGTCTCGTCTCGTCCGAGTCTCGTCTCGAGTCTTGTCCCGAAAACGAGACGAGACCATGCGAGAATCTCGAAAACGAGACTCTCGCCGGCACCACTATATCAAACTTGAACGATGGAAACTTGTTATTTTTATAGACCTCAATCGCAGATTTGTGATTAGGTTTCTCAAATCAGAATTTCTTTCCACGTCCTGTATGATGAATGTCAATTTATCATACATTTAAAAAACCTACTATTTGGTTTTGTCTATGACTTACCAGAAGGTGAACGGTGTGCGTACAGAGAAGTCCTACCCCGATGGTACCAAAAAGTCCTACTAGAAGTCCAGCGCTCGCGAACGCCCTTGGCATTGATAGGATTCCGGAACCCAGGGAACTTTTCACCAGGTGGACCAAAGCACCAATGAACCTGCATGGATAAATTAATTGTATATATGTAAAATTTTCCTTCATCGTTAAATTATCCTCAGGAAACGAGCTGCATGAGTGTCCACAGGACTTCATAAATGAGTTTCCATAGGGCTTCATGAATGGGTGTCCATAGGACTTCATGAATAAGTTTCCACAGGACTTCATAAAAGAGTTTCCATAGGTCTTCATAAATGAGTGCCCATAGGACTTCATGAATAAGTTTCCATAGGACTTCATAAAAGAGTTTCCATAGGACTTCAATAAATGAGTTCCCATAGGACTTCATAAATGAGTGCACATAGAACCTCATGTATAAGTTTCCATAGGACTTCATAAATGAGTGTCCATAGGACTTCATATATTCTCTGAAATACAAAATAGTCAAAATGTTCTATTGTTTTCTTAATTTTTTAACTGAATTTTTTATTTGAATTTTGTGAGTTCCAATCAACTTTTCTGGTAGTTTGTCCTTATGAATGTTTGAGATTCACTAGTTTCATTTCTTATTTAGAATTCTTCATTAATTGTATTTTTTTATAGGCTTATAAATAGTTGGAGACTCTGCATGTGTGATATTCCGTTGGTGGTAGCAACAAGGGCTGATATAAATCATAAAGTGCAATATGCTTCAAATTTTCCAAATGCAATGATTTGCATGTGAATACTTACGTAACCACCAGAAAATAGAAATATGTAGGTATTTCACATCATATATTTTGTCTCTACCGTGAAGATATAACTATGGGAATTTCAAACAGGTTATGGTGAATATCAGATGTTATTATCCATGTGTTGTAGATGATAATGACTCACTATCGTGAGGTAGGTCACATAATTGGCTTGACATAATCATAATAATCATGGCTCCATTATACAAAGGTGTTGAATAGCTAATTACTATAGGTACTAGGTGCAGCGCTACGATTTTGCTTTCAAAGATTTTGAGTTTTCATTAATAGGTACTGATATCCTCCATAATGATGAATTTGATTTGAGCTATCGTAGTGAGTATACCTATATCTAATTTTAGTTTTAGTTCGATGGATAGCAACGTAGTAAACAACTTTTTTTTCTTGACTAGTATTATTATTATTCACATTTCGTCACTTACATTGCTGGAAAACATTGTAATTGAATAAAGTATATATTTATGTTGCTATCTTTTCGGTTTTCTCCAACAATAACATCTCGGTATCATCCATTCAGAAATTGGAATAAATAATTGTTGATTGATTGGATTAATTTTCTGAGAATTCGATTTTTATCCAGATTTAGTTCAATTAGTCACAGATCAATATCCTTATCATCGGGAATTTCAGTATTCGTTTCGATATTCTGTATTTTTTCAAAAAATACTCACGTATTAGGATGATCCAATTGTCTGTTCTCATATGGATCGTATACTTTTTCTGGCAGAATATCGTTACCATTGTGGATGGGAATTTTGATTTGGTCATTCTTAGCTAACGTTGTCCTGCAAAAAAAGATAAAACAGCTAAATCAATGATTTATTCGAAGCCCCTCACTGTGTAATAATTATTTCATCAAATTTGGGTACCAATTGATTTGGCATCTGGTCAATAAAATTACTGAATTATACATGGTTCCAAAGATATGATAACTTCAGAATGCCATACCAGAATTTAGGTACCATTCATAAAAGTAACGAAATGATTTAGATAATTTTATGAATATACTCATAAAAATGTTATAAGTAGATGATATGAAAAACTCACACGCAGTTATATGAATTATGTACATTTTCCATATATTTTAATATTTTCCCTCTCATTTATCATATCTATAAAGAATTCAAAAATGTTTTTCTTATCTCATTTCGATTTGTCCATGAATCTATGCTAGAAAATATACATGATGTCCCAAAATTGCTGGGACACAGAGCTACCACGTGCAATACAAGTCAAAATATGTTGATTGATCCCCATTTATTTATATAACGAAATGTACCTTTTGTCCATGAGACGAGTTCAAAGTTAACATAAAGAAATACATTTTTGTACACTGTTCACAAATGAGTATAACAAATTTCTTCTTCTTCTCTGCACAGGTGGGCGGGTGCGTAGACCCCTGCACTCAGGCCTCTTCAGTCGGGCCCATTGTGCGCCCACTTGTCCTGTGAATCAGCTGGGCATGCCGATTTCTTTGACGAAATTCAGCAGCTTCCTCAGCTGAATCGCTTTCACATCCTTTGGGTGCAGTACAATATGCTCCAAAAGGCAGCTTTCCTCTGATGCACCAGCGCGGGGCATTCAGTGAGTATGTGTGATGATGTTTCATCATCCTCCAAGCACCATCTGCAGATGGGATCATCTTTGATCGCTATGAGTTCTAGGTGCCTGTTGAGGTGGTTGTGCCCAGTTAAGAGCCCAACTACCATCTTGAGATCCCTTCTATTAAGTGACAGGATCTCTCTCGTGAGCCTTTTTGAAGGTTCCTTTAAATGAAGCTTTGATTGTCTCATTCTTGGTGTGTCCCGCCATGTTTCAAGGAACTGCCTCTGTAGCATTTCCTTCATGAAGGACATAGCCGTACAATTGGGTATTCCCAATATCGGTTCTGGTCCAATGGGTGTCGTTGCTGAACCGATCTTGGCTAGTCTGTCTGCCTCCTCGTTCCCCGGGATACCAGAGTGTCCTGGAACCCACATGAGGCTGACTTTCCTAGTTTTTGCCATATTTTCTAAGGCACTTCTACACTCGGACACCAATTTAGTCGTGATCCTATTGAATCTCAATGCCATAATAGCAGCTTTGCTGTCCGAGCATATGGTGACTGGTCCACGTCCACTTCTGCCGAAATTTTCTTGGACACACGTCAGAATTGCAAACACTTCGGCCTGGAACACTGAAGCGTATTTGCCAAGAGGTACTGAGATTCCTTTCCCTATTCCTCCTTCATATACTCCTGCACCAGACTCGCCACCAAACCTTGAGCCATCCGTGAACCAGGTTGATTCGTTGGCAGGAAGCAAACCTGGTGTATTGCCAGTCCATTCCTCTCTTGTAGGAAAAATGACATGCGGAGCTTTATCGATTTCAGAACTGGCAGAGTGCTGTCCCTTACCATCAGCAGACTGGGACAGCTTTCTTCGGCCTTGTTCCATATTAGGAAGTGTCCATAGTCTGCCTTTTCGATCCATTGGTTTGCACCATTGAGTCTATAGGCAGTACGCATGGCTTCATGCTCTACAATCAGATGTAAGGGGGCAGACCTAGTAGGACCTCAAGGGCCCTAGTAGGCGCCCTCCTTCTGCTAATCAAACACCCTAGAAGAAATTGTAGAAGGGTTGAAACCACCCTCATCCCCTGAACTTTTTTTCAGAACATTCTTAGGGGTGGTAATACAGTACTCAAAAATTCTGAGCAATATGACTGATTGATTATCTTCATTTTGTCGCACTTGTGAAAATTTCGTATTTCGCATAGTTCTGGAGGAAGTGTTTTCTTACATAATGCAAACAGATATTCCTACATAGTAAAAGTTTAATATGATTATGATGAAAAATTTAGTTGACAGTGGAAACATAGGCAGAACGTTATTTTTTAATCAATCTTCAATATGACGCCCACCGAGACGCTCATCTTCATCAATGCAATTGTAAATTCGTCCGTTTCCACTGCCAAATAATATTGTATTACAATTTTATCAAACTAGGGGAGTATCTGTTAGCATTATTTAAGAAAACATTTTTTTACTTCGGAAGTATGCGGAATACGAAATTTCCCAGAAGTAACAAAATGAATAGTAGATTTTTTTATTAGGATCAAAAGTGACACTTTGTTTGACAAGCGTATTTTGCATTTGCGAGGCGGAGCGTTTAGCGAAGCCGAGCGAAAGCAAAATTTGCGAGTCGAACAAAGTCACTTTTAATCCGAATGAAACATGCTATTTTTTCTGCAACCGAAACAATTAACTCAAATAAACATGTGAAGTAACCACCAATACCTTGCCATATGTATGCAATGCAACAAATATTGACAAATAATCCATGTGGTGAGAGTATATTCTACCTGCATTAACAGCAGGTTAGGTTTTCTAGGATGTTCGAATGGTAGTTTCAATATAAATACAACCACAGAGTGACATATTTGTGTATGGACCAGGTGCTCTAATGGCAAATACCGCGCCAGCAGTGCCAGACGTGGAAAATGTTAGGTTAGTGAGCATATCAACAATGAAAATAGTGATTATTTATTCCTCTCCATACTACACTGTGTTTGACTTGATAATCAAATGAAGCTAAACAATATCGTTGTTTGAGACAAAAAACTATTGTTTGCCGTAATTATTCAAAAACAAGTTATCCATCCAGAGAATAACGAATGAAATACAGATCAAGCAAGTATTTGAATCTTGAAGGCTTCCCTGATCAAAACAAAAATACCTATGTGAGATGTTTATAATTCCAATACTAAACTATAAGGTGTATTTATTATATCTCCAGCATGGGTATGAAATTCCAAATCTGCTGAAATCGGAAACATATCAGGTATGCGTCTCAACCCAAATAACCAACCGTCACAATGTTGTTTATTCTTGATGACGTCCAGTAGATCCTTTTTAGTTCCTAGGAGCTAAAGTTCAACTTTAGCTCCTAGGAACTAAAATTCAACTTCAGCTCCTAGGCACTAAATATGTTGCCTAGCAACATACCTATTTTTGTGTCAGTAATAGAAACGTCAATTTAAGAGCTAATTTTGGTATCAAAATGGACGACTTTTGTGTCGGTTGCAGAAAAAATGATTTATCTCGCTTAAGAAATTTGAGAAACCTGTTACCACCCCAAAGAATGTTCTGAAACAAATTTCAGATGATGAGGGTGGTTTCAACATTTCTTCAATTTCTTTACTACTGAAGTAAGGGTTTTCCTTTGAAATACACTTTTGGCAAATTTCATCCAAATTGTTGCACTCACTTTTGAACAGCGCACAAAAATATGTTTTTTATGTGAACTTTGAACTCGTCTAACGGACAAACGGTGCATTTTTTTATTTAAATAAGTTGGGTCCAATCAACTTATTTTGAACTGTATCACATGGTAGCTCTGTGCCCCATCAACTTTGGGACACCCTGTATACTTTCTCTTTTCCAAAGTGTCGGCATACAAAATATCTGTAATCTTATCATACATAATACAAAAGGTTGAAACGTAGGTAGGCACAGGTTCGCATTTTTCATGAGGACAAAGCCATTATTATGATGATAACATGTAATTAGCGAAAATTTGGTGTTCCCATTATCCTGAGAATTCGTCTCATTATTATGAAGAGGCCCCAATTATTGTTTCTGGAAAGGCAGTTTGTGCAATCCGTGAGGGAATGCTATATTACCAGGTACACTTCAATTATGTCTAAGTAGATATACCAAGACTTTCTTCTTTTTTGCATGTGCTGTATCTCTGGTATTGTTGATCATTTTGAGTATCTATACTTAGTAGGTATGATGAAGGGAAGTTTCGATTTCAATAATTCTCAGTGTGTTCGGAATTGAATGGTGATTGTGATGGATCTATCCAAATACTGTTTGTTGTTTATGTTAATTCAGTAACCAGCAAAAGCATTTGAAAAATCTACTTCTGAGAAATTTGAGTCACTGGTTTATCGTCTATGAAGAATTTATACATGAATTCAAAGAGTTGCCAACAGCTGCGGTGAACTTTAGAAATAATCATACAATACCTATCCAATTACCCACCCACATCGTGACTATTGATTTTACGTTCACTAGTCAAATGATCGTTTTTATTATATGCTGATGCATCCATTGCGGAATTCTGAAGATTCAAGTGATTCAGAACACCGAATGTCACATTATCCTAATCCTTGCGTTTCATCATGAGAGGTCTTTGTGTCATTCTCATACCTTAATTTTATATTCAATCTCAAACGGATCTCAAAAGCATACTGAATGTGCTGAATACGATATTTACCTACCTGACCCCAATATGATCGCAACCAAGTGATAAAAAAAACAATCTAAGATGAATTATGTCAGCTATCCTCATCAGCTTCTATAACTCATCGCCTAAGAAGAAGATGCTTAGCTAGACGATAGTTTTCCTTATCCCTGCACTTCAACCTTTACCCGATGGTCAGATCTTAGTTTTCATATCATCAACATAGTCATGTGAGTTGATTGATTGCTGAAAAGGAAGGACATGGTTCCTCAAGTTCATATAAACATATGCCCCAAACATCTTGACCTTCGAGCTATAGGGTGTTAATATTTTGAGAAAAAAATCGTTTCGTAATACAACTTCAATACTTTTCTAGAGATTTTCATGAGATTTGACATGCACTTACTAAGCACCAATAGGCATTTTTTGATGCAATAGCTTTCTTTATATTTCTACCAGTGGCGCCCGTTTGAGGTGTATCCTGGAGATTAAAAAAAAAATAAAGTACGGTGATTTTTCCAAGAATAAATCCCATTTTTGAAATACTCTTTTATTTTGCAACAATTAAACCTTCTGAATTTTTTCCGTCCGACAAGCCGTTTTGCCGTAAAAAAATAAAAACTTTTTTATGCATTCGTGGCACAACGAAATTATTCTGAACTAATAGCCTAGTGCCCTATTTCGTTTTTAAAATAATGACATTTGATCGATTTCGTTCCGTTCTTATCTTGACAAGTATTCATAAACGTGACAGTTTTTAACATTGCCAAAATTTTTAATCAGGGATGAGAAAATGAAGTTTTAACACCCTATAGTTCGAAAGTTAAGAGGTTTATAGCATATTAGGTTCATATGAACTTGTCTTCCAAAAATGAGCTGAGGAACCATGTACTAAATTTTCAGCCATCAATTAAATTACATAAATTGTATATTTTATGCACGTCCGGGCGTAAAGCAGCACTTTATCGCCGGCGGACTCCTTTACCTCTTGATATTATTGAATTCCTGTTGCAGATTTATTTTTGGTTTGAGAAAATATGACCATATTTCTGAAAAAATCAACAGTCTGAAATGGTTAAATATGGCTAATCGGCGAACCGCCCAATATTCTGTATTTATTCGAAAGCTTGGTACAGAGTGGTATGCCCACTTATTTACATGAGAAGTTAATTCCCAGAAGGAGCATTCACGCTGTCAATGTTAGATTCCCTGATAATTTCAATATTCCCCGTCATTCAACAGTCATTTTCCGAAAAGGGTTTTCTTTTTTGCTGCAGATTTGTATAATAGAATAAGTACAGATATAAAGAATTGCAATATGTATACATTCAAAAAGAAAGTCAAGATGAAATTGCTGACGGAACAACAATAGTTCACTCTTTCGCCTTTTTTTTTTCTTCTCTTGACCGCTTCTTGTCAATGTTATATGATTAATGATTCTCCCATTTTTGTTAATGTCTATAATTAGGATTCCTAAAACATGATTATAATATTATAGTATAAGTTAATAGTATTATTATAGATAGAATAGGTGGTGTTGATCATTCCGGTGAACACCGGAAAATATACACATTTTTTGTTATTAATAACATAGAGGTTAAGTGTAAGAATAGCAATCATGCTAAACTTCGCCTCCACATTTCTGTATGTAGGTATGTACATTCGTACTCAACCGATAATTCAATAAAGACGATTATTATTATTATTATTATTATATTACTGAGACGCAAGATGATATGACATATTAATTGACAGCAAATATAAAAGTCTACTTCTAATTCGAAAATTTTACTGAGCTACCTAGGTAACGTTGATATCACCGGTACGTACCACTAATCGATGTCACAGTGTGACGTATTTGTAATGTAGAATATACACTTTTATATGACCAGTTAGTGATTTTTTTTATGTGATGTCGCATTTCATGTCTGAACTACGTCACATTGATGTTCCTTGAGTCGGACATTTTCACATCGCCACTTTGTATCGATAATATCCCACTAAACATGTAATGTTACAAAATATTGCCACAATATATTGTGAACCTTCCTGCCGTGATATGAAATTAAAATATTGTATCAATTCTGCTGCTATGTTCGTGTTGAAAATACAACAGAAAAACCAACTGACAAATTGTTTATGAGTTACGAAATGACCCTTTCATTTTAGTTTCAATAGCAATATTGCATCAACTATAAATTCTCATTGTAATTGCAACATCACATGGACTAACTATACTTCGTATTATCAGTGCAACGTTACCTATGGAACTATAGCTCAATTTTCAATTGTAATGTTGCAATAAAATTGATATTTCATTGAGTTTGTAAATAACAAAAGCTAACTACAAAAAATATAGCTACCTACACCTTATGAGATGCAACACATATTTGATTATAAATTGTAATATAGCTGAAATATATAAAATGCTACATTGTGTATCGATCGAGAGACGTCATTTGTCATTTTGCGAAATGCCTACGCGCATCAGTCGCAAAAAGTTGCATTCGACAAACGCCAGCATCTCAGTCGACACATTTGTTGGTGTTTGGCTTCGGTAACAGGTATTTTGTTGTTGTACACGTCCAAATGGCAATTGATACCAATAAATATATTTTGGAACATAAATTGAAGTATAGTATCGACTTATGAAATATGAAATAGTCGACACGATTATTCGATTATCAGAAAGTTGCTGCTGTATAATTTGTAACATAAAATATGTAATTTCTCTATACTTTTTATTTTATGTTGCCCGTAACATTAATTGAATATTACAAAAAGAATACATTTGTTCATTGAATATGAAATGTTACTGTACTTCATACACAATGTAACAATAACTATGCTGGAATAATTCATCCGCGAACATCACATTCATTATATTGCTGAACGTCCGTTTCAGTAGTTGCTGTTACCTTGCAGTAACATAGCGACAATATCTGATGTAACATTACACATTACATTGAAATACTGCTGCAATATTGTGGGGATATTACTTTGCATAGTGGGATGTTTTTGACTTCAAATGCGATATCGCAAGTCATACTTGTGTTGTAACTATTCATCGAGTTTGCTTCAAATCGAATTCAATGAAGACCCCGAGGACAAAAAATGGAGAGAAACTCGACTTACAGCCGACTCATCATGATGATTACTATATACACTATACACTACTTTTATCATTAATTGATATTGATCTGTTTTCGCTTGTTTTCCGCACTCATTTAATCCTTAGAAGGATTTTCAAGTTTTTGCATCACATTGTACCTACTATAGGAATGTTAGGTAGGTACACATTTCTTCAATATCGAGAAAAAGTAAACTAGGCGAGAAAAATGTGAATCCTATTTTCTCCATTCACTATTATTTTCTATCTGGTGTGTACCTTTGATCGTTTCGATTTTGACAACAATATAAATATCGATCAAACAATTGAACGTATTCTGTGGAAAACTTATGACAGTCATAAATATAATAATAATAATGATATTATAATTATATTCGAATAGGCGCGTTGACGTAAATCTTTTGTTTACGTAAAGAGCCATCGCCATCACGAATAACAAATTACAGCACTCAACTTCAAAACAATGTATAATATTGTATTGTATAATGATAGGTGATGCATATCGGTGTGATAAAAGTAGAATCTGATTAATTTTCTTCAACAGATAATGAGAATCATAATCATAACACTAACACTACAAATTTAGCAAAATGTATTTGGCTAAAAAATGTTAAGGTATGTAATTATTAAAAGAAAATGTTTTTATGATATTTTTAGAAAGTGTTCTGCTTGAACCATTAAGAACTGTAATTTAATGCGTTGTATTTTCAGACAATACATACATATTATATAACATAATACCATAATGACACCTCAAGTACTAAGTAAAGGAGGGAACATATTGTGTATCCTTGTCAAGAAGAAAATACTCACGTTGAGTTGTAGGTATCTATGGTGAACGTTGAAGGAAATTGATTTTTCTTCTTCTCCATTTTATCACCTGAAATATAGAACAATCAAAATTCTGGAATTATCAAGGATTGCAATCTAGTTTTGCAAATACCTATGTACAATGAAAATAATAGTATATCAAACGCTGGTATCGTTAAATTCCAAATGATATTGTTTTTACTATAGACACATAATGATTATTATGGAATAATATAGTCACATGCGAGAAAACTACTTTTTGAAGAACTGTATCCAGAAGTACACTATTTGAAATCACTTGAGGTTGAATTTTTTTCTCAAACCATAGATCTAAAAGATCTATTCTCAAACCAAAGGACCCCGCACATTTAGTACGGAAAATGGCTTTCGGCTAATTTTTCTGAAAATATGATTTGTTCCAGATATTGGCATCCTTATTACACAGTCCATTTTACAGATCGATCCTATTCCCAGTTTTCGAGCTACAGGGTGTCAATCATTTGTTTTTTGCTGTTTAGAATATTTTGCATCGATTTGAATTATGTGCTCTAGGTCGTGATAAATCTTCAGTAGAAATAAAAGATCTACCTCTAATTTCTACCTCATGAATCCCTCTATTCGAATAGATTATAATATCACATACAGGGTATTGCATTACACCAGGACAAGGTAATATTCATGGGAATAGACAAATATTAAGAATATTAGAATGTCGATTTTTACTCAATCTCTGAAAACTTAAAAATAAACGGCTAGAAACCACCAATTATTCATATGATTTTCTCTGATACATTGTCTGGTTTGCCATTTATAGGGTGATGACAATTGGAAAGCTTAGAATTGATGTAACTCATGTACAAAATGAGATACATATCACGAATCTTTCATAACTGTTTATACAGGGTGTTTCACAGGTAAAGGGAAATATTTCAATGGTAGATAGGGGTTACCAAGGTGGTTCTGAAAATACCATATTTGATAGGTCTTAGAGTTTTCATAACGGAGATACAGGGCGATTTATCGATTTCGAATAATTATTCATTCGTCTATAAGTATTGAACTACCCAGTATATTTTTCTAAAATTTGGTATGGAGCTTAAACTTGGGACGTTGAATGCATTCACCTATTGGGCGAAGTGAAAATCCAGGTTCGGCTTCAGGAAAAATTTACATCTATTCGAAATATTAAAATAACACACTGTATGTGATAATTGACAAAGTTCATCAAAGGAATCGTGAAGAGGAGGAAAAACTGAACTGGATTTGATGCTTTTTGTTTTCCCGCCACCAATTCTTATCGTAACAATCATAAAAAGGAAGCTAAAAGTATGTCAATTTGAAGAGTATTGAAATTATTAAACCAGTTTCAATTATGATTATTCGATATATTTTAGTCAGAAAATCGCTCGAAAGAACTTACTAAGTCTCACAGTTTTTATAACGGAGATACAGGGTGAATTATCGGTTTTGAATAATTATTCACTCGTCCATAAGTATAAAACTACCCAGTAACATTTTTTCAAATGTGGTTTTCCTCCTCTTCACGATTCCTTTGATGAACTTTGTCAATTATCACATACAGTGTGTTATTTTAATATTTCGAATAAATGTAAATTTTTCCTGAAGCCGAACCTGGATTTTCACTTCGCCCAATAGGTGAATGCATTCAACGTCCCAAGTTTAAGCTCCATACCGAATTTTAGAAAAATATACTGGGTAGTTTAATACTTATAAACGAATGAATAATTATTCAAAACCGATAATTCACCCTGTATCTCCGTTATAAAAACTGTGAGAATCAGTAAGTTCTTTCGAGCGATTTTTTGACTAAAATATATCGAATAATCATAATCGAAACTTGTTTAATAATTTCAATACTCTTTAAATTGACATACTTTCAGCTTTCTGTTTATTATTGTTACGATGAGAATTGATGGCGGGAAAACAAAAAGCATCAAATCCAGTTCAGTTTTTCCTCCTCTTTACGATTCCTTTGATGAACTCTGTCAATTATTACATACAGTGTGTTATTTTAATATTTCGAATAAATGTGAATTTTTCCTGAAGCCGAACCTGGATTTTCTCTTCGTCTGATAGGTGAATGAATTCAACGTCCCAAGTTTAAGCTCCATACCAAATTTTAGAAAAATATACTGGGTAGTTCAATACTTATAGACGAATGAATAATTATTCGAAATCGATAAATCGCCCTGTATCTCCGTTATGAAAACTCTAAGACCTATCAAATATGGTATTTTCAGAACCACCTTGGTGACCCCTATCTACCATTGAAATATTTCCCTTTACCTGTGAAACACCCTGTATAAGTGATATATAAAGTGGAAAATAAAATGTCTCATGAAATACCCCCACCAACCCCCCCTGAGTTACAACCACCCCAACGCATTTAATTTCAATAGTAGCCCCTACTTGAGATACCTCATTCTTCATACCATTGGAATGCATTTTTACCGAGCTATTCAATAGGATCGATCTGTAAATTGGACTGTGTAATAAGGACGCTAATATCTGAAACATATCAAATTTTCAGAAAAATTAAACGAAAGCCATTTTTTGTAGGTACTAAATGTGCGGGGTCCTTTACATATTATTAGGCATCGCAGGAATACCAGTCGACATATCCATTTTTTTGAAACAATTGTGTACCTATTTTAATACTTCATTCTGAAATCTGAAACGTACTCTGTACAAAAAAAGCAGGTCATAAATAATATGTGGTGTGTCTGTGTTTGCAGACTCGTCGCATTTCTTCATCAGTCTGCGAATGTATGGCAGAAAGTATCTTTTCCATTAGCAGGCTGATGCAATTCGGACATTGCTTACGAAGGACAGAATATGAAGTCTGATATAATATTTGGGATACTGCTCTAGTTTCTGCAAATTATCATAAATACACTTTATCGAGGTTTTTCAATAGTTTTCAATACCTATCTTTGTTTCTAATCATTCATAGTGGTTTTCATTAGAATTCTGAAATATATAGATAGATGTTGTTCCAATGATAAAACAGCGAGAGAAGATAAGGATGTGAAGGAGATGTAGATATTCTTGTTATGGTCGGGTTTGGATCATGGAAAAACCCCCATTATGTAAAAACTTCTCGACGGCTTCTCTTCTGCTATTCCCCCAATATCTGTATCTATGCATCAAGTTCGATGACTTCGCAAAAAATACACGGATCAAGGGGATTTACACGCACAGCTTAATTAATTCGCGAAATACCTAATTATTAAACATGTAACATTCCGAACATGAAACCTACTTGAATTTCTGAATTCAATATATTACTCACATAACCTTCTTATCCTTGTCGAAAGAAAATCAAAATGGCACAGTAATTTTGCTTATACCCAGGCAACACATCTGTGACATGATATCTCTGAGATGTCGCGTCTAGGGAACAGCGCGATATCATAAACGTTCCATCGGTGCGATGTTCATGAGCAAACACATGTCGCCATGTGGAAAAACTTCCGTATTACGAAAGTTACATCGTTGCGATATACAGAAGCAGACACATTTGCAACATGACATCTCGGAAATGTCGCGATGAGGCAGCACTGCGATATCACGAATATTCCATTACTGCGATATCACGAATATTCCAGCGCTGCGATGTATAGAAGCAAACGTACATCTGATATGACGTTTCTAAGATGTCATGATGAGGCAAAAATGCGATATCACGAATAATGCGATGTACAATAGCAAACTCGTATGCGATAATTTTTCGAAAATTTGTTATTTAGATTCTTGCTCGATGAGAAAGAATACATGAATATACGTTATTCAACAAATTGAAGCTAAATTCGCGAATATTCGTTTTATTGATATCAAACTATTCTTGGTTTGCTTACATCTCGCCGACAGACATTACATAATTTTCGATACATATACGAGTAATAGATCTCATTCTGATAGAGATTCGTAGGTAGCAAGGACAGGGCCGGCTCTACAGATTTGTCTGCTAGTGTGCAAATCCTAGAGTAGCGCCCCTATTGGAGTTTATTGAATTAACAAACTGAAAGCTGTTGCAACAGAATGTAAAATCAAACTATTTGATGTTTTCAACAGTTTTATTTTCAAAAATGAATACGTTTATGTATAATGAGAATTCGATTTAACAAATCATTAATATATATAAAAATAAATTCTGAAATAAACAACCAGAGCCGAGAACGCACTCTAGAAATGAATTCATATTTTGCAATTCACAAAAATGGCACTTTACTATCTCTAATTAAATCGCTTGTATCCAAAGTATCTAATAAGTTTGATTCTATTGATGTAGTTGCTAAACTAGACAATTTTTCTTGGGACATTGTCGACCTCAAATATTTTTTTATTATCTTCAATTTCGCAAAAGATCTATCTCCTGTTGCAACAGATACTGGCAGTGTTAGCAAAATTCTCAAAGCTACCGTGAAATTTGAAAACAAATGAACTAAATTATTTGTGAAGAGCTAGTACATTACAGCCTCTTTTTGTTTTGTGCTCCAGATAATTTTTTAGATTTCCTCTCCTTTAATTCATAGAATTCATGATGAAATTGACTACGCAAATGAAATATTTCCAGTCACTATACTTAATTTTATATGTCCACTACTAGTTTTTCATTTTTTTTCTTTATAATGAAACACAAACACTGGAGACCATGCATGGAACGAACTGGAACACTGAAGTAGATTAACAGAAACTAGTCAGAACTATATAGTCAATTCTTCAATGAATATTTTAATTTGATAGTAGGAATTTTTCTATCGTTTTCCCTTACGTTTGGCGCCCCTTTCTGGCTTGATGGTGTGCTGTGCACACCTCGCACACCCGCTAGAGACGGCCCTGAGCAAGGATAGCGCCACTGAAAAAACAATTGAATGGACAAGGGACCCCTCAGGGACCGCATTGCCTGAGGAAGTATTCCCAACAACATATAATCTCCAGAAGTTCAAGAAAAATTCCAACACCTACCTCCTGTCACTATCCTCTCCCTATGGTTCTTTGAAAATTATAGGGATTTCCTTTCGTGCGCTCCAAGCGATAAAAAAACAATATTAGATGTCATCAGAAGTCAGTGGTTGGGAACTTTTTTTCGTTTCAAAACATCGCTTTTCCATCACAAAGAACATATCGCAATAACATTGCATATAGCATATATCGCTGTTGTATCGCAGAGAACTTATCGCAGCGACATCGCATGGTTGAAATTAGTGGGACAAAATAACATCCCTCTGACATCGCATCGACGTCTATGTGACACAGAATGCAATATCACAGGTCACAATAATTGTTACATCTCTGCGATATCGCAGTACTGTAAATGTGTTGTGTTTGCTGGGTACATATACTGTAATATAGTATTTCAGTTATAATTATTTGTCTTTCGTCCTATTCCTAGATTGGATTTTTGCCCAATAATTATATTTCATTATTCATATTCATTTATTATTTTATATATTACATATATAACGTATTCAGTATATCAAAATTGATATAAGGAAACTGCTTTGGCTGTTTTCATTTTTAGTTTCAGAAGAAAATATTGTCAAATGAGATCACTTTGAAATAGTATTTGAAATCAAACACTTTTATTGATTCAAGATTTGAAGTATGTGCTAAGCAGTTTATTTTGAAATTACGGTGTAAACGCAAGATACTAGCTCTGATATTTATTTTAGAATTCATGACTACCTTGCTTAACGACTGATGAAAATTCTGAGAATAATTGGAAACTATTTGGATATTTCCGACGGAAAATCTTCATTCACATTGGCTTTTGAGATACCCTTCCACACATTATTTACTGTTGGATGAAAAGTTTGTTCATGTTTGTTTATATACATTTTGAATACTCCGTGGATCGATTTTTTTCAAAACGTTCATAATTTATTTCAGTTTTTCAAATTGATACCAAACTATTGTAAAAATAATTTATCTCTTACCTTTTGTAGTCTCTTTTATTTTTAATCAATCGGCACACTACGCGAATAATAGAAAACATTCAGTATATGCGCGTTTATTGGTTGATTTATCAGTTTCGATGGTTGCGGTATATTCGCTCGTCGCGGCACTGCTAAACTAATCAACTTTGCCACCTGCCCCACTATTTAACAACTTCCATCCAAAAACCCATTCATTCATATCAACCGATTCACGGATACGGAGTGGAATGACGACAGATTGTTGATAAACATTCCACATCGAGATTTATTATTTATTGTTCTTATTCGATACTTAATTTTGCCAATCATACGTCATTGTTAAATTTGGCGCACGCGGTTTCGTCATTCACCGAATACGAAACCCGATAAACCCCAATTTCACATAATTTCTTGCTACATTATTTCATTGGAACTGAAAGAAAATGCTCTGCAAAGAATTACATTGAGAATTCGCATTCTCCATGTGATGAAAATATCAATTCTTTCTCGGTATATTCAACAGAAAACAACTACTTTCCTAAAATTGTTGTTCTAAAATTGTTCTATCCGTCATTCGGTTGCCCCCTTACGAGCAACCCTCATAAGTCTTCGAGAGTCTTGTGCGAGCAATGAATGACGGGGGCCTTACCTTTTAACGTGTGATCCCAAACACTTTCTTGGGCCATCAGAAAAATTTCTGTAGTCGACGGGAATCGAACCCACGACCGGCAAGCGAATGCGGATTAGAATATGGACACTCTGTCCGCACGGCTACCTGGCCCCATAGAGAAACGAATAATTATATTATTATATTTTTGGTTTGTCTATGCCTGGCCCCCACTTCTGGTTATATACATTTTAATTTTCATTTCTATACTACTGAACATATCGGTAAGTTATATTTTTATATCATAAGATACATAATATTATTCTCTTCGATTTGAGAGATGATGTTAATTCTCAATTTCAGAGGATTTTGATTTTTCATGCTCTCATTTTTCTGGATATTCAACAGATATAATTCAATGTTCGACGTGGCAAATAGCCAGGAAAGTATAGTTGTTTACTGTTGAATATTCAGAATTATATTATATGCATATCTTCACATGAAGGAGAATGCAAATTCTCTACCTCAGAAGATTTTGTTTTCAAATTCTTATCGTGTGTTTTCAATAGATGTAATTCAAAGTAGTTGTTCTCTGTTGAATAAACCGAGAAAGAATCGATATTTTCATCACATGGAGAATGCGAATTCTCAATGTATTTCTTCATATATATATACAGTCTGTCCAAGATAAGGTTGCACAGCATATGGGGATCTCGGAAACGGTAGGAGATACGAAGTCGGTTAAATGGGGAAAAAGTTGCGCATTCGGAGGCTCATATACCAACAGCATTTAGATCTATGCCAACAGCCTCCGAAAGTGTGAGTACTTCCAGGTCGCTATCACTGTCCATTATATAATAATTTGAATATACCGATATCTTTTCGCACAACTGTCAGAATTTTCATGAATTGTCAAACTATAATTATCATGAACAACTGCGATTTCTAGCTGGATTCCTAGCCTCGCTACACTCGGCTATGAATTCAGCCTCGGCAGTCAATCTACTACTTTGCTGCCTAGTTAAACAAATAACTATTTTCTGCAGTTTCATCATCGAAGAAGATTTTTGAATGCCGCTGGCAGTTTTAAAAACTACCCCACAAAGATGACCAATCATAAGAAAACGTTGCCCATTTAATACAAATTCCGAAATGGTATAACATATGGAGTTATCCAAAACAGTGTTTTTTCTTCAGGTGGGTTGCATTTTTCAGAAAAATTGAATAACTTTTGAACCATCAACAATTTAATAACAACATATACCGTTAGTTTGATTACAAATGACCCACTCTACCACCCCACTTCTTTTGATCCATTACTTATGGGACACCCTGTATAAGTCTTACCGTTTTCGAGATTTTTTTTGTTAAAAACATCCACTGCCAAAGTTTTCAATGAAAATATTTCTCACAGACCCCCTTCAAAATGTTCGGAGAATGTTTTTAATGTATACGTTAAAATCATTCTTCAGCAATATTTAATGAAAAAAGGAACCAAAAAGGTGCAAAATTGTACCAACTATACAGACAAAACTATTGAAAGGGGCAAACATTCAATATTTTTAACATAAAAAATATCTCTAAAACGGTAAGACTTTTATAGTGGGAATTTTGTGACATGCAGATGGGTTATCCTTTGATCTACATTCTCCCTATGTTTAAAGTGGTCTTTACGGGACACCCTGTATATGATATTGTAGGAACAGCAAAACATTCAGAATGAAAACATATCCTTTGTTGTCATTCTCTGTACAGATCCTGTAGGAATCCCGAGCAAACACCAAATAAATGAAAACAATCTGGAATTGAAGCTCAAGACACAAAATATCTACTGCCCCATTGCGAAACTAGGTCCCTACGAAACATTCGTTATTGACGTTTTAATCTGCCATAACAAACATGAAGAAATTTATATTTTTTGACGATATTGATCAAGAAATTTTATCATTATGAAATTGGTGATCTGATTTCTCTTACTTCATGTTTGTTTTGATAAAATTGTCACGAAATTTAGGAAATGTTCATTTATCTTGGTGTGTATATCGGGTCTGAAAGGGTATCTCCATAGCAATGTGACTATATTATGAATGAACGAGTAAAAATTGCATCATCATTCTTCAGATATTGTAATTATTGTCGTGCCTTACATATTTATCTGATTTGTGGATATCATTTTCAAAAGTCACTGAAGTTTCGAAATCGTTGCCAGCTCAAACTTGAATAACATTTCACAACTGATTATGAAATATATTCTATTTTAATCTGGAATAGGTACCATTTTATTAGTTCATTAGAAGCCATATCAAACTATGTTTCGATAGGAATTGCCAAGTTTACATGATTTTATCTACAGAGGGTACTAATAAGGCAACTAATTCAACTTCAAATGATTTGACATCAAATTACAAGAAGATTCAGTGAAAAATTCGATAAAAACATAGCATGCTAACTTTTTGGACAGTGGATTTATCAATCGTAAGAAAAGGACCCTCCCTAATGTGAATCAGCTCAACAATGCAATAGTAATCCTGGGTTGCATACAAGAAGACCCCTCTCTATCTACACGAAAATTATTTGCCATCACAGGTATTCCGCAATAAAGTACAGTTCACAATATTATGTCCGAAGAATTAATAAGATTGGAGACATATAGAGGTAGAAATTCTGCAGAAAAATCCGTACATTGAGAAGAACTAGAAACTTCCTGGATAGTTTGATAATGTCTGATGGAGCAAGTTTCCACATTGATGGCAGGGTGAATAAACATAATGCCGCATTTGGCCATTGAAATATCCAAGAAGCATCCATGAACATGTCAGGGACACTCCAAAAGTGACCGTTTGGTGTGCCATGTCAAAGCACAAAATTTAAGGTCCATCCTTTTTCAATAATCCAATTGTTGATCTCTCTTTCGTACTAAGACATGTTGGAGAACTTGTTCTTTCCACAATTGGAATAGGATAATTCACTGGAAATAGCATATTTCCAACAAGATGAAGCTACACACCTCTAAGCAGCCACCACGATCTCCAGACTTGATTTTTTCTAATGGGGTTACGTCAGAAGTCGTTGCTACAATCCAGTGCCTCAAAATCTCGATCAACTCAGAAAAATTATTCGTAACGTGAAAGTATTTCCGTCGATATGTTGAGTCGCAGTTTCATGAAAAGAACGAACGCATGTATTCAAAACAATGGAGGGCATTTTGAACAGTTGCTATAATTATTCATGTTCACTTTGTTATTTTTTTAGTGTTGAACTGATGTTGAACAAAATTTCAAATTAACTTATCATAAATTTGCATCAGATTCATACTCAATGAACGTCAATTCATCATTTTTTTCATGCTCTGGTTCTCACGAAAAGGGATATGCTGTAATGTTCAGAGAACATCGTGAGAACCAAGGGGAATAAGGTGGGAATTGGTGTTCTTCTTGAATTTATGGAGGTTATATGCCTCGGGGATTACATCCCTTGGCAATGTGTTCCAGAGCCTTGCTGTTCGTTGAATGAATGAGTCTTTGGAAAGAGATGTTCTGCAGGTCTCCAAAGTGCCCACGAAGGGGTGCGAAGCCTCAACTCGACGGGTTAATCTGGCGGGGACTGCCAAGGGAGGAACAATTGTTGATATTTCAGAAGAGCATCGTCCATGAAAATATCTATAAAATAGAGGCAGATCGCCAATTTTCCTACGGTGTTTCAGAAAAGTGAGTGAGTTTGTGAGCGATCACCCACGAGACGAATTGCCCTTTTTTCGACAGAACCCAACAGTTTCAGGGTATGTTTGGGTGGTGCACTCCAAATATGGAAACAGTATTCCAGGACAGGTCGGATCTGTGCCTTATAGATCATAAGCAGCTGACTGGAAGTGGAATAGGTCTTGGCTCGAAACAGAAAACCAAGTTTTTGGGATGCACTTTTAGCAATTGATCTCACGTGATTTTCCCAAGAAAGGTTATTGCTGATAGTAATACCAAGCATCGAAATGGATGTCTTCAAAGGTATGGTTACTCCTGAAAAGCTTATGTTGGGCTCAGTGAGATCGGCTTTTCTTGAGAAAAGGCATGTTTGTGTCTTGTTTGCATTGAATTCTACCAAGTTATTGGATCCCCTTTCAAGAATTGTTGCCAAGTCCATATTTATGTTGTCAACATTTCTCCCTCGTTCGTTTCTGATTTGTCTGGCTGGTATTGGAGCCCTGGAAGAGAAGGCGGTATGGAGGGTACTATTATCCGCGAACCTGTGTACTGGACATGAAGTTGCTTCCAACAAATCGTTGATATGGAGTAAAAACAGTGTTGGTGCTAGAATTGATCCTTGCGGAACACCAGCATTTATGATAAGAAAGTCAGACGAAACTCCGTCAACCACTACATGGAGAGACATGTTTGGGAGAAAACTAGCTAGCAGAGAACATAGCTGAAGAGGCGAGCCATAAGATGGAAGCTTGGCGAGGAGTCCGTGGTGCGGGACTCGATCGAATGCCTTGGAGATATCAAGTGCCACGGCTAAGGTTTCAACATATTCTTCAATAAATTGCTGTCATATATGCGAGACGTAATCGAGCAGGTCACCAGTTGATCTCTGATGACGAAAGCCATATTGCCTATCGTTGATAATACCTGAATGTGCCAGGTATTTCATGATCACGATGTTGATAGCTTTCTCCATTTTTCGTTAAAGTATAAAAGCTGGATTTTATCCGTGTTACTTGGGTAACAATTAGACGTTGTTTCCTCAGTAGCCAGATAATTCTGGTGGTGCTAACCCCCTAGTCAGACAGACATACAGAGCTTTCGTAAAGAACTGAATAAATACATTTTCAGGATAACATCCTAATGTGCAGTAGATGCTTCAAAGAGTTATAACTCTGACAGTTTTATAGGAAAACGAAACTTGTAATACATTCTTAGAAAGGGAAAAACCAGTATTCCTGAATGTGCGAAAATATACAGGGTGATTCAATGAAATAAAAAAGTTGCCCTCTACCTGAATAATGGTTTGTTTGTTTCCGGTAGAACCGAAAGTTCCAGTGAGAAGGTGAACCCGTCAAAAAAAAAACTTGAACAATATCAAAATAGACAAGTCCGAACCACACAACGATAACCCCTTTCCAGATACCCTTAAACCTTGATGAATTGTAAGTCATTTTCCGTTGAAGTATAAAAGCTGGATTTTATCCATGTTACTTGGGTAACAATTAGATGTTGTTTTCTCAGTAGCCAGATCATTCTGGATGCTAACCCGTTACCATCGAGATATGTTCACGTGGGTAACGGCTGACCCCCTAAGCCAGACAGACATACAGTGCTTTCGTAAAGTACTGAATAAATACATTTTCAGTCAAACTATCGATTCCTGAAGAATCTGTTGGAATAGGTCGACTTTTGATTTACAGGGTGATCCACGTTTGAACTATCATGTCCGCCAGAGAAAAGGAGAATATTAAATGAAATGGTTTTTTATTATAATTTAATAAGTTTTTTCATAGTATAAAATCCACTAAAACTGCAGTTCAATTCTATTCACCCTTCTTTTTTTTCCATATACCTATATATTGATACCAATTAACTACATTACACACGATGTTAATTAGGGTTCACATTCATGCATTATGAGTAAGTGCATGATCTCAATTAACTGCTGTAATAATGTAGGTAGTCTTGGTATGAACTAGAAATGGTTTCATGTTTGAGATGTTTCAGTATCAGCAAAAGTGAGATGTATCAGAAATGTTTCAAAAAAGTCATGTTGGAAATGTTGCAAATATATAGTGCGATAAGGAAATGTTTCAAATACACTATTTGTGAAACGTTTCATGAAATGAAATAGTTAGAATATCTCAAAGATGTTTATGTATACTGATTATTATATGTTTCATGTTTCAGTCCAATGGAACATTACATACCCTAGGTCATTTATGATCTCTAGAATGTCTCATAAATATTTCGGAGTATAAATGTGAAATGTTTCATATTTCACAAAGTTTGTTTCAGGAACGTTTCAGGAACACAAAATGGTTTAGGTACTGGGAAATTTTATATACTGAATCACATTGATTGAATGTAAAATATATGTTGTGACTAAATAATAAAATGGTAGGTTTCTTATATAATATAATGAAATATAATCTCAGTTTACATAATACAAAGTTTATCCATTTGGAAAATATAATCACAGTCTGCAAAATGTACTTAAATTCTACATGGAACTCACCAAATTGATTCATTATTCAAAATGCAAAAATAGTATTTCTAAATGCATCAAAAAGTGTCATATAAAAACATTCATATAATAAGGATGTTCTCAAATTTGACGTGGTAACTAAACATCGAAATACATGCCGTGTCATCAGATTTTGTTGAAAAAAATCCAAAATGAAAAATACAACAATTTTCTTTGAATCAGATTCCTTAATTAAACACTCAAGGTGAAACATATTTTCTCAAATGGTAATTTCCCTGATAAGTTATATACATTTTCATAAAATTTTGATTAGTAATATTTCCTCGCTAGCATAATTCGTTCTCTGTGGCGTCAAGTTTAAGGACACCCTGTATCTTACGACAACAGGATGGATTCAGTTAGATAATCGTTGAAAAAACGATTCGTTCAATGCCTCAAAATAAATATACGAAATATATACATGTGGATACGGGAGATTATCATTTGGTTGAGAAGTTTCGATATTAGTATCAAAAACAATGTAGTTCACTCTTACAATAATTGTTTTAGGGCATTCATATGATTTCGAAGGGAAACATTTCTTTTTCTCAATATCACGTCTCAAAAGTAATCAAAAAGGAACTCGCTCCCCCAAAATATTATCTCTACAAAAAATGGTAATGTCGCTTGCTTCGATAACACCACCGACACGTTAGACATCACGAAATGATAATCTTTTTCCGATTTAGTCTTCACCACCCTATCATATAACACCAACCATCGGCCCAGCATTTGTAACGCACACCTCTCCCGGCAGTTCATGTGTAGAAGGTATCCAAGCGGCCGTCATCCGGCCGTAATACACATTACCGGCGATTAAATCATTGACTTAGAAGTGCTACAGCAGCAACGAATTTCAATGCATCATTGATGGAAGCGCTCAGCCACCAACGTATAAGATACTTGAGGCAAATTTGGCCCACCTAAGTTAAAACATTTTTTTAGTCTCCATCGGAATTCTTTAGGTGAACAAATTTTACATCAAATTGAATGTTAGGTATCCTGCTCTCATACGTATATGACATAATTACCCAAATAGAAATGTGTGGAAACTATGGATTAAATTGCAGAATCCTGTAATTGGGCCATTATATACTATATTCAGGTTATACGGCCCATATACTAAACTGCCTCAAAAATTGAGAATAATGAGTTTTGAACTTTTATTATAGGAGAAAAATATCAAAATAAATATAAAAAAACATTGAAAAAAATACAATAACAATTATAAAGAAGTATTGTAATTTCTAGTTAGCAGCATTCGGAGACATACGAAAGTAAGTAAATTAACGGTAACTCAAACAAAGAAAAAAACACATTAAAATTCATAATAAAATACCTGGGGTTTACAGTCAACAACACACCACATCATCATAGTCTTCAGGATCTAGCCCAACACATACTTTATATGGTACCAAGTGTTCAATTTTACACATCTTTTCATATCCAATTTGTCTTCTTTGTGACTACCACAAAACCAAGACTCTTCAATTATTGGTTTTAAAGTATATTGGTCTTTAAAAGTAGATGCAATGCTTGAGATAGACTTGGCTATTTTGATTTTCTGAATATTGATGGAGTCAAGGGCTTTGAAGAAGATGACAAATCATTATTTTTAAAGATCTCTTGTAACCTGTTGGGCCTTGTAATCCAAAGATTCGACGAACGGATGTCTTTTTCTTTTCATCTTCTGGAGTCGGGAGCATGTCATTAAACGTCTCAATTGTTTCAAGTGGAGACAAATTTCACCCATTAGGAAGCTGAAATATTGATTTGGAGTTGAGAAACTATTTTCTCCCAATGAACTCGATGGTGTTGGATAATATGGCCCGCTGTTGGGTATTATGGCCCATGGGCCATGCAACCCACCATTGTATTGGGCCATATTATTCGAAATGTATTTCTAAGGAAATGTTATGTATAATAAAGAGAGTCGAGTTTTAGAACCTATTCAACATGGTATGTAAAAATAGCTAACAATATACTTACTCACCTTTCTGCTTCATATATAAGATGGGAGTTACGTGGACTGAAACCTAACCTGAATATTACATCAGCGTGTACACCAGTCAACGGCTGCTTGTTCTCATCTGGCTACAAATTGCAAAAAACTTGTAGAAGCGGTGTGCGCGAAATGAATCTTTGGGAGCGACAGGCATGCGTAAAGAGCCGGCATTGCCAGATTGCTCATAAGTACCCAAGTTTTTTAAATGTCAACTTTGGGCCATATTACCCACTGGGCAATATTTGCCTGCAGTACCTTATACCCTTGCCAAGTATCTGACCGCGAACTGAGAAATTCATGTTGATACGGATTTGCAAGTGCATATACGTTAGTGACTGATCGCTCCCATCATTGGTGCATTGGGATTTTTGCCGCAGTAGAACTTCTGAGTCAGTAATTCTATCGCCGGCAATGTGCATTACGGCCGGCTTGCGGCTGCCTGGACACCTCGACGCCGGGAAGGCATAACATTTCGACAGTCGGCCGTCAGTTCTCAAGGAAATCAGTATAATCTGGGATACCTACCCCTTTGAGAAATTCAGCACGGCAAAATACGTCCCCGTCACGAACCCGAACAAAAAAAAGACGAGCAACAGCAAATCCTTGACGAGAATCCAATGCCACCTGCCCCAATCCTTCCAGTTGACGACTATATCGAGCAAGGAGGGGATAAACAGGCCTAACGTGGAGAAGAAGATGGCGCCCAGCAGGTCGATGAGCGGCCCAAGATGGTTGCCTGCCGCCGCTGCCACCCCCACTATGAAGGTAACGGTGAGCGTGCGCAGAACCACTTGCGCCACTTGTTGCCGCTGTTTGGGCACGTGAGGCTCCAGGCGTCGCCACGTGATGTCGATGGGTACGTAGTACTGCAGCATGAAGGTGAAGAAGATGGCGAGGGAGATGCACAGCTGCACCACTTGAGCCAAGCTGAAACATACAAAGTGACATTTTAGAAAACTTCCCATCCTCAATATCCCTATAATGTTCGGGGAATATGGTGGGAACCTAGGAAGCATTGATAGAGGAGGAAGGTATTGGGATTTTCTTCAACTTTTGGAGATTATAAGTTCGTGGGAATACTCTGTTTGGCGAAAAATTCCGAAGAGGGTTTTTCGACATATTTCGAGGTTGACGGCAAATAGTTGTGCTGACTGGGTTTGTCGAGTACGTCTGAGTGATGGGACAACTTACAGCTCATTAGGTAGTCAGGAAAGCATGGTGAAATGTACCTGAGCAGATAATTCCGAGGGAATAATCCAGTTTTTTGACAATTTATTTGAACATTCCCCATTTTTCCGTTGAATCTTTAGACTTATTTTTTGTTTTTGATGATTTTTTCATTCGAATATATTTTTTATTACAAGTTTTTCGACTTCATCGATCATTATAATCCATCAAATAAATCCAGGTTCCTCCAACTTCCAAAAAGTAAGGTGGTTTCAAACTTTGAAATGCGTTTTTCTCGAAACTTACTTTCTGTGACATTACCCCTTTTTCCCCTGTGGTCTTCATATGTCAACTTATAATTATCTCAATGTCAGCTATATCAATATATTGAAATTCATTGTATTGTATTATATTATGAATTTGAAATATTGATGATTTCAACTGATTTGTACTTACTTATATATATAGTTATGTTGTATTATACATATTACTTCAATCACTCTTTGGTCATTCTTGAACCACAGAAGCACAGATTAACAATCCTTTGTCAATTAGTGCTCAATCCTAGATTCACTGGACATTTATTAGTTAGTAAACCCACACTGAAGTATTCATACAAACCGCGCTTTTATAATAAGATTTGATTGGTTCGCTGATTCATAGGTAAAGCAATCGTTGAACGCATGCGTGTTACGTGAAACGAATGGGAAATTCGAAGATGGCGTCACTTGACCACTGCCGAGTGCCGAATTTTTTGTGATTCCGGTCCAAGGACATTCTGAACTTTTCGAGTTCTTTGACTGTGAAAGCAGTGAACTAAAACATTTGTGGATATCATCTATCAACTGGTGGACTTCGACGACTCCTTTTGTTCCAATTCACCTCGGAAAGACTATGAGCATTATTTATTTTGTATGAAGCAGAATATACATGACCAAGAAGCAAATTGAGTTTTGCCTGCCTGCTTCTACATACACACCTGGCAAGAATAATAGTCCGGGGTGTGACGTATTTTCAACTTGGCAACATTCTGTTACCGCCAGTTTTTCTTTGGTAGACATATTTGTCAGATTAGCAATTGTAGGTATATGCCAGAAATGAGTCCATGAGATATAGTAACAACTCCAACCAATCAAATTGCAAGAAGACACTGACATCACAGTTTAGTAGGGTTTGAATTCAATGGTATATTGAAATTGCATTTTCAATATCAAATAATTCATTTGTTGTATTTTCTATAAATATGTGTTAGGGATAATTTCTTCGACTTCCCTTCCTAACATTATAGCGAAAAGGGGTCAATTTTTACGAAACTGGAAAGGCCAATTTCGAGGAACAAAACAAGGTGTTATTTGTAGATTTCATAAATTGGTCCCCCAATCGATCGATATGAGACCCCGATGCGGGACATAACTTATCACTGAGGGTGACTAGAATAGTATATTGTTTACCGAGCACGGAATGATAGTGATATCCCACGAGAATGAAGTTTGCAACATGAGCCATATGCGAATGCTGCAATCGTTCGAGTAAGAAATTAGCATTCCGTGCAAGTTATACACTATGATTTTTCTACGGCTATAATAGATAACAGCGGCATATTTGATTTCTTCGTCTTGTAGCCATCTGAGTTCCTGTCAAGTAATCTTCCAATCTTCGACATGTGACTTTAAGAGTCGGTTATATGGGGGATCACCAATTTTTGAAATACAAGACCAACCGCAGGGACTGACGTCTAGAATCTGATTTCTAGTAGGGTATCATCGAAGAAATGAGGATGATAAGTGGATAACAACCACTTTTGGTGAACTTCAATTTTTGCCTGATTTTCTTCAATGAAAAATCGCTCTATCGTTGGGTATGAAAAGGAAACATGTAACTTTGCTCCATTCACCAGGAGATGGCAGGAAGAGTTATCCGCTTTTAAATCTGGACTGACTGTTGCAATGCCATTGCCATGAGAAGCGGATAACAAACACACTCATCCAGTTATCATACTCAACGGGTTCAGTGGTTTGTGCATCCGAAATATTTCATGAGATAATTCATTTTTTTCCTGAACGTGAACATTCATGTTTGCCTTGTGATCGTTCTCTCGGACAAATTGAAATACTCTAAAGAAAAAGAAAATACCTTTTCATTCCAAAAGAATGGTGTTCACTTATTGCCAATGCTTCAAAAAAATTTCTGGTAGTTAATGTAACTCAATTATTAATGGGCAAAAACTATAGAGAAACCATAGATGGTTATTTCAAGAAGACAAAAAATAAAAGATTGAAGTATACTGGGGATAAATCAAAACTGTACAGCAACTCAAACATTTGTTGCTCTAAAGAATAGCATTGATTTAAAATCATTCGAATATAAAACTCTGCCAAATTTATATGATAATCCAATACCACTCAATCCAAAAGAATCACAGAATATTATCGACGTTAGACAGTATATTCCATCAGCATACCAGTAATGGTATGACAATATACCCACTAATGATGAAGTTCCAGTAGAAATATATCAGAGGAGTCAGATTCTGGTGATTTAGAGGTAGAATAAGGAATTGTTTTTTTTAAGTTTCAATTTGGATCCAGTTGTATTTTTAAGCAATAAACTGCTAATAAGTTCTCTCTTCATTAGAAAAACACGGGGAATCTCTAGCTGTCGCGTTGGACATATCGAAAGCATTCGACCGTGTTTGGCACGAAGGACTCCTCCACAAACTACCATCATACGGCTTACCACCTCAGCTCTATGCCATCTCTTATCGAGTTTTCTTTCAGACAGATCGCTTCCCGTGGTGGTGGACGGTGTATCGTCTGATGCCATTGGCATCAATTCCGGCGTTCCACAAGGATCAATTTTGGCACCAACTTTATTCCTGCTTCATATCAATGATCTGTTGGGAGTAACAACTTGCCCCATCCACAGCTTTGCAGATGATAGTACCCTCCATACTGCGTTCTCTTCCAGAATTCCCATCTCTTCCCAGGAAACTAAGAACTCACGGCGCAGGCAGGACAATGCTGTCAATGAAGATCTTGCTGAAATCACAGCCTGGGGAACCAACAACCTAGTTGAATTCAACGTCAAAACTCGAGCCTGCATTTTCTCTAGAAAGGCGGAACTCAGTATGCCCGATATTGTAATGGCTGGCTCCACAATCCCCACCAAGCCCACCATATCTATGCTCGGTATTTCCATCAGCAACACTCTTTCATGGGATAATCATGTCAGATCCATCGCAAAGGCTGCTTCACAAAAACTCGGATTCTTGTTCCGTGCGAGAAGCTACTTTGCACCTCAACAGCTTCTCATGATCTACAAAGCGCATATACGGCCTGTTCTAGAATACTGTTCCCACATATGGGGTTCAGCACCAAAACATACGCTGATACTCTTCGATTCCATCCAGAGAAGAGCCATTCGCCTGGTGGGTGACGCCACACTCACTCACACCGTAGAATGGTCGGCGACCTTTCACTTTTCTATCGATACTTCCACGGGAAATGTTCTTCGGAAATCTCTGCTATCATCCCTTCACTAGCAATACCAATCAGGCGAACTAGACAAGCCCAGTCAGCACATCCTTTCGTTGTCAACCTCGAAAGATGTCGAACAGCACTTTATCAAGACTCCTTCATCCATAGAACGGCTAGGCTCTGGAATTCATTGCCTGTGGAAGTATTCCCAACAACATATAATCTCCAAAAGTTCAAAAAAAATGCCAATACCTACCTCCTGTCCCTATCATCCCTAGGAACGCACGATGTTCTCTGAACATTATAGAGATTCCCTTTCGTGCGCTCCAAGCGATAAAAAAAATTTAGAATGCATCATATTTTCCCCTCTTTAGCATAATGAGAATGAAGAGTGGGTAAGTGTGAGTGTGAAACAGTTCTTTTCAATTTATTTCGAACTTATTGATTAATATACCATATATGGCAAAAAACAGGAACGAAAAAAAATTTTTTCTCGGAAATTTACTTTCGGCGCTTATCCACTTATCATTCTCATGTCTTCAATTAGGTCTCTGTAACATACAGTGTGTCCATTTAGTGCGTAATTCTTCGATATCTCGAAAGCCATAACCTATAGAGAAAAACTTTGGGAAAAAAACTTTTTCAGTTACTAAAGTTGCTCATTTCAAAAATATTTTCAACATTACTGGGTGTTTTATAAAAGCAGGGCAACTCGAAGAAGAGTTTTTCTAAATGGAACACCCCGTATTGTTTATTCGGAATGAATTCCGCCGAGGTTCACCTTTACATCGCTGTTGAAAAATCGAAATCGGTTACGGCGTTGCCAAGTTATAATTGATAAATCTATTTTTACCATTATTGAAGAGTAATGTTGAGTTGGGCATGGTATATTCATTTATCCAAGAGCAAGGTCCCACGTATACCAATCCAGTAATTTTGCGACATGTTCTTCAACAGGGTTCTCAATTTTGCATTCGAAATTTTGCAAGATTCAGATGACATTCATCAGAATTCTTCGAATGGAACACCCTGTATTTCAATTTAAAAATTCATTCCGACATCTTTCGCCTTTTTATCACTGAAAAAAAAAATCGAAATCGATTGCGGCGTTGTCAAGTTATGGATAATTTCCTTATTTTTACTACTATTTCGGGGTAATTTGTACGTCATAGTTCTTTCATTTATTTGTATTGTGGGAATATTGCGTTGCTACGGTATAATCAAATTTGTTCATTGACCATTCATATATTTTTTCACAATAGGAACATTAACGGGCTCTCCAAGTTTGAATTTTTTCCGAAATACACTTATATTTGTGTAATGACCTGTCAAACATCGCCACAATCAAATATATCTTGGATTGATTCGAAGTTTTGCTGAATTCCCTCCCAAAAGTCGCGTATAGTAGAGACATATTGTTTGTATCATTATGTTTACCTCCTTCAAGTTATATGGAGATTTGGATTGTGGGAATAACGACAATAAAAATGGCCCAAATTTCAGAAAACTGTCCTAATTTTCGCAATTCGCATCTTCATTGTTTGTATTGTAGAAGTTGTTTCAAAGACAGGCGTTGTTTTTGGCATGTTTGTTTGTTTCACATATTATTCAAATCATAAGTAACAAGATTACGGATCATTTCAAATTTGGACGATGCACATATCGCAAAAATACCTGAATGATCTATGTAGAACCTCGAATATCATGTGGCAAGCAATATTTCCACACTCAAATCAAATAAAGGAACCATAATGACGTTCAAATTACCCCGAAATAATAGTTAAAATAAGGAAATTACTCATAACTTGAAAACGCCGCAACCGATTTTGATTTTTTCTTCAGCGATGAGAAGGCGAATGATGTCGAAATAAATCTGTAAGAAAAATACAGGGTGTTCCATTTGAAAAATTTTTATGATCGTCGTCTGAATCTTACAATATTCAGATTGTAAATTTCAGCACCCTGTAAGGAATTATCTCGCAATAAAACTGGATTGGTATACGTGAGACCTTGCTACTACTGTATGCCAAAAATATTTTCGAAATTTCAATAAATAAATATACCATACCCAATTGAAAATGACCCTTCAATAGTAGTAAAATTGGGTTTATCAATTATAACTTGGCAACGCCGCAACCAAATTCAATTTTTTTAACAGAGATGTAGAGCTGAACCTTAGCGGAATAAATTTCGAATGAACAATACTGGGTGTTCCATTTAAAAAAAAAACTCGTCTTCAAGTTGTCCCGCTTTTATAGAACACCCAGTATTGTTGGAACTATTTTTGAAATGAGCAACTTTAGTAACTGAGAAAGTTTTTTCTCTAGAGTTTTTCTCTTGTGATAATAGATTTCGAAATATCAACCTCGAAAGATGTCGAACAGAACGGCTAGGCTCTGGAATTCATTGCCTGTGGAAGTATTCCCAACAACATATAATCTCCAGAAGTTCAAAAAAAAATCCAATACCTACCTCCTGTTCCTATCCTCCCTTGGAACGCACGATGTTCTTTGAACATTATAGGGATTCCCTTTCGTGCGCTCCAAGCGATAAAAAAAAATGGACACACTGTATAACGTATAACATATTCCCTAAACTTTGGTAAAACTTACATTTCTTTCGACGGTAAATTTTGCGTGATAGTAGCTTCCGTGTCATCTCCGTAGGCATAATAGCCGCAAAATCCGACTGCGGTATAGAAAACCACCACCATCGACATGGCCGAATTGAGCACCCCCGGACATCCGATGAATTTATCTTGCACCATGGTATTCTCCACCGGCATTATGGTCCCAATGCCCTCCATGGCGAATACGATGGTACTGAAAAACGATGGGATACCTGAAAAATAGTAGATTGTTTTATTAGGATCAAAAGTGACACTCTGTTTGACAAGCGAATTTTGCATTTGAGAGGCGGAGCGTTTAGCGAAGCCGAGCGAAAGCAAAATTTGCGAGTCGAACAAAGTCACTTTTGATCCGAATAAAACATGCTATTTTTTCTGCAACCGAACCAATTTACTCAAATAAACATGTGAAGTAACCACCAATGCCGTGCCATATGTATGCAATGCAACAAATATTGACAAATAATCCATGTGGTGAGAATATTCTACCTGCATTAACAGCAGGTTAGGTTTTCTAGGATGTTCGAATTGTAGTTTCAATATAAATACAACCACAGAGTGACATATTTGTGTATGGACCAGGTGCTCTAATGGCAAATACCGCGCCAGTGCCAGCTATAGGAACAAGACGAAGAAAATGTTAGGTTAGTGAGCATATCAACAATGATAATAGTGATTATTTATTCCTCTCCATACTACACTGTGTTTGACTTGATGATCAAATGAAGCAAAACAATATCGTTGTTTAAGACGAAAAAACTATTGCTTGCCGTGATTATTCGAAAACAAATTATCCATCCCGAGAATAACGAATGAAAAACAGATCAAGCAAGTATTTGAATCTTGAAGGCTTCCCTGATCAAAACAAAAATACTTAACTGAGATGTTTATAATTCCAATACTAAACTATAATGAGGTGTATTTATATCTCCAGCATAGGTATGAAACAATGTTGTTTATTCTTGATGACGTCCAGTAGAACCTTTTTAGTTCAACTTTAGCTCCTAGGAACTAAAATTCATTTTTAGCTCCTAGGAACTAAATATGTTGCCTAGCAACATACCTATTTTTCTGTCAGTAACAGAAACGTCAATTTAAGAGCTAATTTTGGTATCAAAATACGACTTTTTTGTCGGTTGCAGAAAATAATTATTTATTGTTTATTTATTTAGTAAATCAAGTAGAATATACAGATTTTCATTTTTCCAGATTTTTTGGGTTTTTTCTCCTCGTTTATATAGGGTATCAACAGATGAGTGTCACAACGGAAAACTCTAGATACCTCATAAAAAGAGGAAAATTATTTCCTCTACGAATTTTTTCTCCGGGCTTCTGTTTACAGTTTACCAGTTTTTTGCTCTTATCTCAGGAACCGTTTGAGCTACGGAGCTGAGCCTTTGTACATACTTCATTATTGATAATGACTACTAAGGCACAGATCCAACTCGTCCTGGAATACTGTTTCCATATTTGGAGTGCAGCACCCAAACATACCCTGAAACTGTTGGATTCTGTCCAAAAAAGGGCAATTCGTCTCGTGGGTGATGCCTCGCTCACAAACTCACTAACTTCTCTGGGACACCGTGAAAAAGTTGGCGAGCTGGCACTATTTTAAAGATATTTCCATGAACGATGCTCTTCTGAAATATCAACAATTGTTCCTCCCTTGGCAGTCCCCGAGAGATTAATTCGTCGAGTTGAGGCTTCGCACCCCTTCGTGGTCACTTTGGAGACCTGCAGAGTGCAGAACATCTCTTTCCAAAGACTCGTTCATCGAAAAAACAGCGAGGCTCTGGAGCACATTGCCAAGGGAGGTGTTTCCCGAGGCATATAACCTCCAGAAATTTAAGGAGAATACCAATTCCTACCTTATATCCCTTGGTTCTCACGATGTTCTCTGAACATTACTGGATATCCTTTTTCGTGGGAACCAGAACATAAAAAGAAAGAAAAAAAGAAAAACTTTCAAAGCTCTTCATCAATTCCCCTGAACATGTCAGTGGCGGAGAGTTCAACGCCTAAGAGAAAAAAAGTTATTTGTAACTAAGGCATAGTGAGCTATGACCTACATTTGAAAAACTATAAAGTTGGTGCTGATATCTCAAATTCTAGAAGAGTTGGTATAAATTTCATATTTTTTTTGAAACCACTTCGAAAAACTGCCATGAAAATGTGAAATTCCTATTTGAATATTTTCATAAATAAAGAAGTTACGGAGGAGACAAGAAAATGATCAAAATCTATTTTTTGCGTATAAAACAAAAACGAATAGATTTTATCAAAATATTTTTTCACATTATAGTTGGTCCTTGACAAACTCCACATTTGGTGTCATTTAACCTACCTCGTATCTCTCACCGTTAAAAAGATACCCATGGTGAGCATGGTAAGTGGGACACACTGTATATATATATAACAATAAAAAAAAAACGAATTAACAAGTTATGTCAATACATATAACATAATAATTAAAATGAAATCGTTCCAAGTATTCAAATGATGATACATTGCTCCGTTTACAGTGTCATGTGTATATATTTTTTCATATTGACTTTGAATCTTGTTTCATCATCAATATGTTTCAAATCATAAGGTAATGAATTATATAAAATGATTCCGTTGTAGAATATACTGATTGTTTGCCAATGATGGAGTTATATGGGTTCGCTATAAATGAATTCAAATGTCTCGTAGCATGAGTATGAATTGTATTTACTTCAGTAATAAAGTTCAAGTTGGATATTTTAATTTTTTTTCTCACAAAATGAATGAAAGAACAAATTTTCATTTTATATAAAGATGATAAATTCAACAGATTTTTTGGTTTGTAAAGATTAATAATTGGTTCCAGGTAATGTAAATTGTAAATGCACTTAATTGTTTTATTTTGTAATTTCATTGATGGTTCCAAATGTGATTTACTTGTGCTTCTTATCGTTATTTGAAATATCAGCACCCAAAACACTTTGGGTCATAAAATGTTAATGAGGAGGACCTTTAGGTAGATCGACATTGTCCCCAAACGATGAATAATACATGGGCTTGAACAAAATATACCAACATAATAACTCAAGAGTCGTTATTTTTTATTTTTTTTATTTAGGCAGCAGTGTACCTTACCTGAGATGTTGGTGGCTAAATTCCTCTCGGAGGGGTCGACGTGTCCCATCTCTACGACCATGTAGTAGGCGGTGATGCCCAAAGCGATCACCATGGTCAAATTGGCGATGAACGAGAAGGGCACCAGATGTTTCAATTCTCTTATCTGACAGAAGAGGATCAGCAGCAACAGCAGCACCAGCTTCACGTACTGGCTCCAGGATGAGGCGGGCTCGTAATAGTAGGCCACCAGCTGAATGAGGAAGATGATACGGTTTCGGGGATACTGATGTCGATCGAGGCATTGCCTCATTGATATATTCGTGCCACTTTTAATTTGGGTATAAATAGTTCTTTTCCTAACAAGTGCGCGAAGTGTTAGTTTTCCGCACACAAATACTGTTAGGCGAACGACGCGAAGCGTGCGGAATAGTCACTTTGCGCACGTGCTAGGAACAACAATTTTCCTATGAGCTCTATATCAGAAAACAACGAGAACGAAAAAGTTATAACTCATTGAATAGTTGAACTTGATAGGAAGAACTATACAACTAACGATTACATAACAATAAGAAATATTTATAATTAGCTGTCCTGCGGATACATTTGATGTTCAGTTAGCTTCGAACATATCCTTACTGGAGATGGACATATCGCATGGCAGAGTGGAATAATATCAAAATCATAGGTAAGGAAGATAACAAACAGAAAAGAAAAATCAAGGAATCCGCTTGCATTCTTCTGAACGGAGACAATAGCATTGCTTCCTGTTCAGTTGATATGATGGATAGAACATGTTATTCACTACTGAGAACTGAATATGAAAATGGTAGATTCAAGATCAATTAATGAAAACATCCTGTAACTCATTTGTAGACTAAAATCCCCCATTCATATGCCAAATCAGCATGACACTGAGAAGTGTTAAACTATAAGCAGAGTATCTGACAAGCTCCTGGATTTTTCTTTCAGGCTCCCTGATTTTTTAAACGCAGTGACATTCTAGGGCAAATCAACTGATTTGTCCCACTACAAATATATTGAAATAATACACATATTTTAATTTTATAGAAACGAAGAGAGAAAATCCCAAAAAATCAAGTAAAATGAATGTACCACCTCCTCGATTAACCTACAGACCGTATTTCATCAGTTTTTCGAAACACTATTTATCACAAAGCTCGACCGACATATTGAATCCGCTATCTTGAATTTTCAAACCATCAGATTTAATCACCCATCTTGAATTTCCAAAATTCGATGAGACAATCATAATCTCCGACCGCGAAAACCCCCAGATACCAATTCTGAATGGAATCGGATTATAATTACAAAACTCATCCGCCATATTGGATCTGCCATCTTGTATCTTGAATTTTCCAATCATGACAAAAGAATCATAATCTTTTACCGCAAATAATCTCCGACCGCGAAAACCCCCAGATACCAATTTTGAATGGAATAGAATTATAATTACAAAACTCGTCCGCCATATTGGATTCGCTATCTTGAATTCCTTAATGTTTCCTCTCATAGAAACTTTCTCCCGACCATAACAAACACAACAAAAAAAGATGAAATCGGTCAGGTCGTTAACGATTCTATGAAGGACATACAGACAAACATTCATTTTTATATACAAGGTGTTTTTGAAATAAGGGCACATATTCAGCACATATCAATATAATACAGTCTAAGGAATATTCCTATGATGTAAGATTTTTTCTAATTCTTTTAATTAACGATCGAGAAATGTCATCCCAAAAATTGAACAAAATACAAGAAAAAAATCAAGTACGCCACAATTTGAATGATTGAACTCCGCGTTATTGTGCCTACCGCATGGAAATTTGAACAGAGGTGACGTCAGATTCGCTATAGTGTAGAACTTTGGGTGGTAAAAGGGGTCTGACCTCAAATTTTATTTTGATCCCTAATTTTCTTTTTGAGTGCCATTCGATAGTACACGTCGAGCTTTCTCAGTGTTTGAAATATTTGCACTTTATTTCAATGTCACAAGAAGAACAAGAAGAAGAAGATGAATTGAATCATTTGTTCTTTGAGTTTCTTATGTAACGGCTTGATGAACACTGACTTAGCGGCCTTAGCGCAGAATGGCAGTTGATAATATGGCTTGATAAATGTTGATTTAACTCTGGACATTTGTTCGAATATATATCATTGGGATCTTCGAGTAGTTCTAGTGCTACTTTGCGCACGCTCATGGGAAATTGATGTTTCGCACTCTTACACATAGATCACCATGTATTGTATAGCTAATCGTCATTTCTCATTAATTTCAGATACCCTGTATATAACCTACCTAAAATCGAGTTCAACATTTTTCCCTTATCTGATTATTATTCATTTCACCATATTTTAACCAGATTAGTTCAAATAAATTGACATTCTCCACTAATTATGATAACTGAGGACGCCCTGAATAACTTTCGAAATAGGTTATGAGACAGGAAAAAAATTAGGTATACATACATACAGGGTGATCCATGGTGGATGGCCTATTGGAAGTATCTGGAGAATGAAAAGACAGTCTAAAATATCTTCATCGATACAGTGTTGCCACTTCTATCAGAAACAACTAGCAACTTCGTTATTTTAAACGGAGCACCATGTATTTCATTGCATTTTTAGATTCTCTCTGAAGAACTGATTTCATCAATCCATCACACTTGGGGTCTAGCAGGAATGATTACAGAGATATAGGGTTTTCAAAATCGAGATTTTTCAATTTTAGGATTTTTTTGTGCCGAAACTATTCATTATCGATCAAAACGGCTCACATATCCCTATCTCAACTTTCGATCCACTATCTACTGACATTTAATTGGAACAGATACAGGGTGATCAGAATTCTGTATCTTGAAGCACCCTGTATTTTTTCCAATTAAATTCCAGTAGATAGTGAATCAAAAGTTGGGATAGGGACATGAAAGCCGTTTTGATCGATAATGAGTAGTTTCGACACAAAAAAATACTAAAATTGAAAAATCTCGATTTTGAACCCCCTATATCTCTGTAATCAATCCTGCCAGACCCAAAGTGTGATGCATTGATGAAATCAGCTCTTCAGGAATAATCTAGAAATGCAATAAAATACAGGGTGTTCTATTTGAAATAACAAAGTTGCTAGTTGTTTCTGATAGAAGTGGTAACACTGTATCGATGAAAATATTTTAGGCGGATAGAGAGTGTTCAATTATCAAAGCATCCCTATTTTCAGAATGTTCTGTCTTTTCATTCTCCAGATACTTCTAATAGGCCATCCACCGTGGATCACCCTGTATACAGATGCACACATTTTGAAATATCCACGCTAGGTTTCTCGCTTGTTATTTAAGATAGAGCCTTGGGGTTTTCACGTTCCTGTTCTACTTTTTTGTCAAACTCAAGATGGCCTAATCAGATTTTGCATAACTGTTACCGTTTATGAGATACAGGGCGATTTTGGAAATTTATACTTTTCGGGCCCCTCCTTTATCTCCGAAGTTATCAGAAATGATTCTGAGCTAAAAACTACGTCTGATACAAAATTCTGCGTAGAATCCAGTGACGCACTCAATTTTCTTTTTCGGGGTATGGTTTTGAATATACGACACGAACCTATTTTTTCAATGGAACATCCTGTATTTTATCACTTCATTGAGTTCGTTATTTTTTCCCTTCAAAATGATGCATTATACTATACTAAAAAAACACTGAAACATCACATAATGATGATTTTTTGTTGAAATTTACCAATTCCAGTTAGAATATGTTAAGTGATGACGATGAGATTATGGGCAAAAATGGCAAGTCTCGTGAAAGATACGAAATCGCTTACAAAAAATTACTCAGGAATAATATCTTGTCATTTTCGGAAAATATTCTGTTATACGTTCGATAACTTCACAGTGAATAACCATTATAATAATTTTATATGGTTTTCGAATTTGTTTTCTTGTTATCAATGAAGATTATGAAATAATATGATAAACTATATCATTTTGTTTCAAATTGAGGGAAATGGTTCGTTATTCAATTCACTCATATGTATAAACAAATACAAGATTTTTAATTTGTTCCTTTTCATGATGGAGATAGCTCAAAGTGACGGAATCTGTACTATCCTGAAGAAAGTATAGTGTAGTCGTAGAAAAAGTATAGTACATTTCTCGAATTGTAAATCAATTACACACTTGTGGAGTTACACATAATGCAGGGTTATGTACTAATATGAGTTTTACAACTCTTGTTAGATAATATTGCATATATAAAACCAGTACGTCTCCAAAACGCACTGAGAACGTCAGGCCAAGACGTTTAGTACGTACAGGGGACGTCCAGATTAGGACCGTAAACGGACTAGGTACGTACTGGGGACGTCCAGATTCCGCGCCTTTGTACATCCCCAGTATGTCCATTCAGGACCATGAATACCTGAATCAACGTAAATTCGCCTTTTTCTACTCATATAGTTGGAAAAGAGATCTAAACAGAGTAGAAGAGATCTTGAATGAAAAATTCAAAAAAATACGCTGTCGATTGACCCTTCACATTGATACTTTCATAGAATTAGATGATCACGGCAGAGAATACCTAAATGGATGTTTTGTGATCAGGTACGGCCAGTAAAAAATTAAGAATTGTATTTTGTTTATGTTTGCAAGGTTCCTACATGAATAGATATCAGATATTGAGGGTAGAAATTACATGCAATGATTTCAATTATCATTATACAATTTATTCAATCCATTCCACAAAAAGTCGATAACGTCCAGAGTTGGAGGTACTCAGTACATGGGAATCGTACATAGTCAGTACGAACGTTCAGACCTGAATCGGACCTAAAATGGACGTTCCCAGAACGTCGAGTGCCATAAGCGATACTATTACGCCTTGAAAAGGATTAGATAATGGTAGGTTTTATAGCTAGTGGTGGGTAAAAGTGAGTCCTTTCCAAGTCTCATTATTCGACTTTTGAAACTGTTTGAAAGTTTTGGAGACAATGCTAAACAAGCTTATATATTCAATGAACAAATAAAAATGAAGTGAATGAAAATGATAACAATCGTACTCACTTTTGTAATTGATTCCGAGATGAATACGACGTACACCGCATTTCCTACAAAGTGAGTGAGGATCAAAGATACTTCCACGAAGAGTCTGGAAAATTGAAGGGAAGTTATAGGAACTGGTGGATGAAAATACTGAAAAAAATACCCACTTGGCAAACTTTGACCAGCTTCTGAGTCCTCTCGGTCCATTGTTGAATACAGCTTCGGCAGTCTCAGCGAAGCCGAGACTAGGGGTTTTTGTGTCTCTGCATACTTTTTGTGAGGCTGCTACCTACAAAATATAATTCATAGAACAAATAATGTACCTATCTACCTATACAATACATGATGCAAATCGAATTTGTGAGTTGATTCGATAAAATACCGAAATTTCCCTGCCAGCTACTTCTACGATTGAAAATAGGAAAAAATGTTTCAATATGAACATGAGACGAGAAATGTCTTCTAACGAAGCTACAGCCCCCTGAAAGAGGGCTCGTGAAGATGATATTTCTTGAGTATTTCCGAAACTCCATGTGATAAAAAGATGTAATTTATTACAAGAACTACAACTGCAGCATCTGCACTTTTTGGTCCTGAGCCTTTTTGTGGGATAAGCAAAGGTCACCTAAAGGGAGAACTCAGGAAATGGAAAGAAATTGAAAAGTCCTCCTACTGGAGAGGAACTCCAGGTCAACGACAAGCGAAAAGGTTCATCAACCATTCGCAGAACCGAGCCAAAGAGCTACTCAGCCTCAGCAAACCAGAGCTAAAGCTTATCACAGGCTTTCTCACAGGGCACGGCCCTCTGAGGTACCACCTCAAAAAGGGCCTGGCGGAGACTGACACTTGCCGCTTTTGTAACAATGCGACCGAAACCGCGGAACACATACTTTGCTCATGTGAAGTCTTAGTCCGCCAAAGGCTGAACCACCTAGAACAGGTCTATCTCACCCCTGCTGAAGTGAAAAATTCGACCGTCAGGAAAATTGTAGGCTTCATTAGAAGTCTGGGTTAGAGGACCAAAACTAGATAGGGGTAATCACAATAGATCTTCTAGGTCGCAGTGATCGAGAGGTCTCCCAGCCTATACGACCCATCTACAATCTACAATCTACAAGAACTAAATTTTCCATACCCAATGCAGTGAGAATAAAATCCTTTCAAAATTTCACTCAGGAGTATATGAATATTTTTCAAAATTGTTTGTACCGATGCATATTTTTTGACAATTCAGTCTCGAATTATGAAAATCCACACCACCAGATGTATCATTATCGAGTAAAAGCGTTTTGAAATGATTGTTACATCTCAGATATTATGCATAACATTGCAATGAGTCGTAGTAGAAATGGAAAAAAATGCACAAAAGTTTTTTCATCATCATTTTCCCATTTTTCGCACTATAATGATATTGTTTGGTGAAAATGAAGTAGTTGATTTTTTTATAGCCACTTTGATTTGCAATGTGAGTGTATCAATATTTTCAAATCGATTCACTCGTAAATTTAATACATATTCTGATCGATGCGAAACAGGAGCATCTTTTTTTGTGAAACACTGTGGATTTTTATAATCGAGATAATATTGTCGAAAAATATGTATCCAAAAACAGGTTGAGCAACATTTTATGCAGTCCTACCCTGTATAATACACTCTCCTTTATAAAACTTTGGAATTATTTTACATTCACAGCATGGAAAGTTGAAATCTTGTATTGAATTGCATCATTCTATCGCGTGGCGTTTCGGAAATATCATCTTCAGGAGCCCCCTTCCAGGGGGCCGTAGCTCCCTTAGGAGACATTCCTCGATCCATGTTCATCGGAACTTTTCTCCATATTTTTGGTCGTAGAAGCCGCTGGTGAAGTTTGGCAGGCTAATTTCGGGACATCCTGTATAATGTTCATACACCGAATGCTTTTTTGTCTCTTAGTAACTTATTTTTTTCTGTGACGGGAAAAATTTTTGACGTTTCATCTCTGTTGCAGGACAGGTTCCACACGGGAAAAAAGTGAGAACCGTTTTCCCCGATATATAATAATAATATTCGTCTTTATTTGTCCACCAAGAGATAACAAAAAGAAAAAAAGATAAATATATATACAACGCCCCGCCTCAGTCGTGCGATATTTACCAAATTTGTATCGGTAAGAATAATCATCAATATGACCAGTTCTTCAAAGACAAACATCATTTTAGACAGTGCCGTGCGTTTTTATTGAAATGAATAGGGGTCAGTTTTTTATTAAATTATATTAGACATTTTTTCGCAGGAAAACTGACCTCATAAAACTGTTACACATCTGAATAACATCAGCATTTTTGCGAAAGTAATAGTTATTTACTCGGAAATAGTGAGTTCAACATAAAAAAGTATAACTCGTTTTTCCTTTCAAATCATGATTTTCCACCTACCGGAGCCATTGGACGTTCCAAAATTCGTAGTTGATTTGAAGTCACTATTTATTCGAGACTGAAAATGAAAAAACTGAAGCCAATCCTGTTAATTCGGAATCAGGTGATTTTTTGCATGGAGGTACGAAAGCATGAGGAACAATAATATGAGGTTAGATTTCCTGTAAAAATATGCCTAATATGATTTTATGAAAAATCGACCCCTTTTTAGTTCAATAAAAACGCACGGCACTGTCCAGAATAATGTGCATATCTGTAAAACTTATCATATTGATGGTTATTACCATACCACACCAAATTTGGTTGGAATCGCATGACTAATAACTGAGATATAAAGGGGGGCCGTTTGAAGTGAGACACGCCTGTGTATATATGTATACAGTGCGTTCATAAAGTGTGGAAACGCTCCATTATCTTACGATATAATTATTTTCAGAGGTAAAGCTCGGACAGGTCGATTTTGTATTTCAGTCTTCCATCTTTTTTACAAAAAAATAATTTTTTCCCCCACCACCTTACAAGATATGACGTCATCGATATTTTTTTTAAATCGAAAGGGTATATTTTTATATCAAAAATTGAAAGCCCATATTTTTCTGAGTTCAACCATACCACATACGTCATATCTTACACTTCAAGTTACAGTATACTGAGTATAAAAGAAACCAGTGTTCATATTTCTCAACATTCATTTAATTATTTATTTTGCAATGGAAACCTGAGAATTACTCAGTAGTTAGTACGAGTATATTTGCCATACTTGAGTAGTAAGCTATGAAAACATCTGAAAGCCCTTAGCAATCAGACAATATGTTCTTAGTTACCATTGCATATGTCATTATTAAATTGATTTGTTGTGTAGCATATCGATTTATAAGTCTGCAATAATAACTTTCTGAAAAATATTACCCTAAAAGCTATTATTTGAAATAACGATGGGGCTGTCAGAAAAACAGAGAATAGAAGTTCTGATGATCTTAGGTTACGGTGATCGTAAAAGAAGTATGGCAGAAGTATGCGAAATCTTTGATGAAAAATATCCTAATCGAGAACCAATAAGCAAATCGACGGTAAGCAAAATATTATTAATATTACAAACTTATGTAGTTCCATATTTAACTGAGACATTTCCAGATATCAATCAACCTGATCGAATAGTTTCTACTATTTGGTTCCATCAGGATGGAGCAGGTCCACATTATGCTCGAGTAGTTAGAGATTTTCTTAATGAAACGTTCCCCAATCGCTGGATTGGACGACGCGGACAGATTGAATGGCCTGCTAGGTCCCCAGATTTAACTCCCATGGACTTCTTCCTCTGGGGTTACTTAAAAAGTGAAGTGTACATAAACCGACCCCCCAGTTTGGAAGACCTTAAAGAGAGAATTCGAACTGAAATTCAACGAATTACACCAGATATGTTGTCAAACGTAACCCAAGAATTCACCAGACGTCTTGGATATTGTCAACTAACCCAAGGAGCTCAGTTCGAGCATTTGCTGTAGATTTGTTATTTGTTTATTTTCACTACTTCTTATGATATTTTCATTGCAAATAAATAATTAAATGAATGTTGAGAAATATGAACACTGGTTTCTTTTATACTCAGTATACTGTAACTTGAAGTGTAAGATATGACGTATGTGGTATGGTTGAACTCAGAAAAATATGGGCTTTCAATTTTTGATATAAAAATATACCCTTTCAATTTAAAAAGAATATCGATGACGTCATATCTTGTAAGGTGGTGGGGGAAAAAATTATTTTTTTGTAAAAAAAGATGGAAGACTGAAATACAAAATCGACCTGCCCGAGCTTTACCTCTGAAAATAATTATATCGTAAGATGATGGAGCGTTTCCACACCTCATGAACGCACTGTATAACGAAGTATAATGATCATTTTGGGAAAAAGAAATCGTAAGGTATGAACATTATATAAAATATGAATATATCTAATGGACGGCGGGAACAAATGAGGCAAAGTTTAGTTATACAGTATGATGCAAATGTATGGAATAAATTCATTTCAAAACAAGACGACTTTCGAAAACAAAAACAAAAACTAGAGTTTAGAACTTCTTTTTCGACGACCCTTCGATGTTCAATTCTCAGTAGCAGACCTCTGCAAGATCCAGGTAATCACATGATAATCCATTTTAATTTCAATCTTCTTATGCAACATTCTGACTGAAGAATAGACGATCAGTAGACCTTTCAATCAAGGTGTCACATGACCCCTATTTGTATTTGAAAAAATCGTCCATTACGTCTTTACTCCAACACCGGTGACGTAACATCTCTCATATGAATATCATGAGATGAGGCTTCAGAAATTAAAACTCACGTGTTTTTAGAATTTTTTCAAATGTCGCCCATTTCTCAAATAATGAATTTATTCCATACATTTGCATCATTATATATACACTATATACACTGGTGATGGCTTTTTTTGTGCTAGTTCCGAAAAATAAGCCAATAACACTGAATAATTACTAATTAATAACAAATGATACCTGCAACGCAGATGTAATTCCTGTTGAAAACTTCAAATTTCACCACACAACATCGAACTAAAATCTACTACTTTTTTCCCTTGTATAATAAATAACTATACCTACTTTTCCCCAAAGAATCAAGGCACCACGAAAACGTATCCAAAAGTAAGAAATACATTTTCTTCAAAACTACCTGTCCGATTTGAACGTATTTTGTTTTGAATGACAAGTTAACTCCTTCTGAATATTGGCGTGCGAATTGTATTCGCAAAAAAATTATTCATTATACAAGGGAAAAAAGTTGTGGATTGCAGCTCCAGGTTGTGTTGTCTTCCGACGCGTATCGTAGTATGCATTTTATACTGATTAAATCATCGTTTTATTCTAAAAAAACTGGAAATAATCGCCAGTGTCTACAAATATCCCAAAAACGTCGACACAATTAATATACTGACCAATAAGTGAACAGTATGCGTGCAGATTATTCCAATCAAAATCGTTCCTATAGCTCCAACGACCAAACCAGCGTTCATGAATGCTCTCGGAACAGCCAATAAGCCGCTGCCAAGAGATCCTTTCAGTATATGGATGAGGGCACCAGAAAACCTACAAAGAACATGTTCTCAAGTCATTCAGGTAGAACGATATTACTGTAGTGATTCACACGAGACCAACGAGACGAGACTTTTATAAAGTCTCGTCTCGTCTCGCCGATGAAATATGAAGTCTTGTCTCGAGTCTCGTCTCGCATCCTGGAGTCTCGTCTTGTCTCGCGTCTCGTACGAGAGTCTCGCAAATGTATCGCTATTTCGTCATGCATAATCTTGTTCCAGTCTAGTACGGGATATTCACCTTCACCTACTTTTTGGGTATAATGTAGAAGTAGGAAGAGAAAATTACAACAAATATAACATTATTTATTGAAAAGTAAGTACCTAATAGGTACATACTTACATCATACATCTAAACAAGAAAAAAACATAGCATTATATATTCGAAAGTTATAAAAAAAAATAAAAAGTGACACGTATTTTCTAAACAAATAAACAAAACAGAAACTTTAATTCAACATTATTTTTCTCATTTAAGAAATAGTTATATAAGAAAAAAACCTTTATCAGTCAGATCAGCCTTCACGATCACAAATGTTTTTGTTTTTCACCCAGTCGATAAGACATAAAGTTATTCTTTATCTTAGACTATTTAGCACAGAATGACTTATGTATAGATTTTCAGGTAGTCATTCAATTTGCGATCTGTCGTTATTGCAGAATTGCATGAGTTTACATTCCGCCGCCGTAAGAGAGAGAATAGTCCGTTTTCCTTTCACGCATTACGTCGTCTTACAACAATCATGGATTGTGTTTTTAAAGAATTTATGATCGAAATGTTCTGTCTATATGAGCTAAATAGTCTGAATTCTTTCTAAATATGTTGATTTATGAATGAAATTCTCAAGTCTGCAGTCCGCACGCAGAAATATTTACCTGCGAGACTCTCGCACGAGACACGAGAAGTCTTGCACGAGACTCGAGACGAGACTTTTATTGGTCTCGAGTCTCGAGTCTTGTCTCGAAAACGAGACGAGACCATGCGAGACTCTCGAAAACGAGAGTCTCGCGGGCACCACTAGATATTAGCAATCAAGAAAGTATAGATTCACGATAATACACTACACTGATTTACCACTAACCAAACCGATTTTTTGAACACCTCGACACGTGTTTCGCTAACTATGTTAGCATCTTCAGGAGAAGATTGAAACTCAGTTTTAATTTTTTTCATTATTACTAATTGAAATAATAGCCATGACTATGACAGCATATCTCTAGTCGTTAATGATAAATACGTACTAGATCCGTACTAGATAGAACAGAGGTGGCTATGTCATTATTGACTAGTGGTTCATGAAATGACGAAAACTACCTTGGTAGTAAAAAAACACTTCACGCATCGAAAATGAATGAATAATGGTAGGTTCTACAGCTAATGGTGGAAAAAATATTGAACCGAATTCAAAGAATTATTGCTTGAATCAGATGAAAGTAATACACAATATTATGTATGACAATGACTGATTATGTGTATTATTCCTAAAACAATATCAATGATAAAGAACATTGTGTAACTCTGAAAAGATAGGATAATTCGAAACTGTGTGATATGTCACGGGCAAATGAATAGAAAATATTATGTGGTACCTGATGAATTGAATAGCTACGAAAGCAAAGAAAATTCGTCACAGTCGCATTCAGAATCGGCTAATGGTATAAATCGTCTATTCTGATATCCATAATGTACTTCATTCAACTTGAAATGTTTTGAAAAAGAATATTCTCAGATATATTCATGAAAACAAAAAAATGGATATATATATATCGGGTGGTCACAAAAAAAACAGAAGTTTTTATTTTTCTCGTGGTTTCATCATTTCTCAACCGAATTCGAATTTCTTGGCGTCGTTTCATAGCTAAAGGGCTGTAGTATACAGTGGAATATTTGAAAATTTCATAATGAACAAAAACAAAATGGCGGATTCTACCAAAGTATTATCATTTACAAAAACCGCTGGAGAGAAAGAAAATCGGTTTATTTCCAACCTGTACCGATGTCATCTTAGGCTATTCATTTCTGAAGAGAATGAGTACTCGAACATTGAAATCAAACAAATAGTCCAGTAGATACACTCATTTCTTTGCAATTTGTTATGGAGTGAATGTGCTAATCTCGTATAAACGATTATTATTATTTTGCTTCAGGCTTCATGAAAATTCAATTGAATTTGGATTTCTTGGAGTTATTTCAAAGATAAAGAACTGTAGTACACAATGATTTGAAATTGTATCGGTCCTGATTGGAAGAATAAAATTGTTTTTATTCGCCTGAGATTTTTGAAAGTCACGAAAATTCTGGATCCTCCACCATTTTGTTTCTTTCAATTATTGGATTTTCAAATGATCCATTGTGAACTACAACTCTTTTTCTTTGAAATAACTCTAAGAAATCCAAATTTGATTGAATTTTCATGAAGCCTGAAGCAAAATAATAATAATCGTTTATACGAGATTAGCATATTCACTCCATAACAAATTGCAAAGAAATGAGTACCTATAACTACTGGACTATTTGTTCGATTTCGATGTTCGAGTACTCATTCTCTTCAGAAATGAATAGCCTAAGATGACATCGGTACAGGTTGGGAAAAATCTGATTTTCTTTTTCTCCAGCGGTTTTTGTAAATCACAATACTTTGGTAGAATCCGCCATTTTGTTTTTGTTCATTATGAAATTTTCAAATATTCCACTGTATACTATAGCCCTTTAGCTATGAAACGACGCCATGAAATAAGAATTCGGTTGAGAAATGATGAAACCACGAGGAAAATAAAAACTTCCGGTTTTTTTGTGACCACCCGATATATAAAGAAATACATTGAGAATTCGAATTCTCCATGTGATGAAAATATTAATTCTTTCTCGGTTCATTCAACAGAAAACAACTTCTTTCTACTACTACTATACGTCACGACGAATATTGAATTACATCTATATTGAACACACACGATAAGAATTTGAAAACAAAATCTTCTGTGGTAGTGAATATGCATTCTCCTTCATATAAAGATATGCATAAAATACTTATCATTCTGAATATTCAACAGAAAACAACTACTTTCCTGGCTATTTGCCACGTCGAACATCAAATTATATCTGTTGAATATCCAAAAAGAGAGCATGAAGAATCAAAATCCTCTGAAATTGAGAATTGGCTTTATCTCTCGAATCGAATAGAATAATATTATGATTATTATGATATATTATGATATAAAAATATGACTTATTGATATTATATGCATATCTTTATATGGAGGAGAATGCAAATTCTCTACTTCAGAAGATTTTGTTTTCAAATTCTTATCGTGTGTTCAATTCAATATTCGTCGTGGCCAGGAAAGCCAGGAAAGTAGTTGTTCCCTCTTGAATAAACCGAGAAAGAATTAATATTTTCATCACATGGAGAATGCGAATGCTCAATGTATTTCTTTCATATATTCATTTGTGTTCATAAATATATCTGAGAATATTTCTTTTCAATACCTTTACCCAATCAAGGGGTTCAAAGTTGAACGATGAAAAGTTGTTATTTTCATAGACCTCAATCGCAGATTCGTGATTGAATATCAATTCATCATACATCAAAGAAAGAAAAACTACTCACTAAATTATGCTAATAAAGTATTTTCACTCACTGCGTTGCTTTCAACGATGGCAGAGACGTTTTCACTTACGTATTCGGATGCTGTAACACTCTGTGTTCGTAAGGATCATATATTTTCTCTAAGCTGCTCATACTTTCCATACTGAGTTTGGTCGAGTTAAGATCATTGTTAGCTAAGGTTGTCCTAGAAAAAAACAATAATTAGGTAGGTAATAACTCCGCTTTTCCGTGTCATCGTGCCTAGTACCTATTCATGAATAATTAACTATTTTGACATAAATTTGATATCAACCAATTAGAAGGCTCATTTTTGATTACGTTGCTTATAGCAACGGGAGATTACCAGTAGTAATATCCCTAGGACATTGATAATAGACGAGGTAATTTTATGACAATCGAGTGCTCGTTCCTTGGTAATAGCTCAAAGCCGAAAGCTGAGGGATGTTACCAAGCAACAAACTTGAGAAATTTGACATAAAATTATGGGACATTTGTCCGAGGAATATTTGGCGGAAAAAAATTTGGAGTTGTCAAAGTCGATCGTGTTATCATAGTGATTGATAATTATTGTACTGAATGCAGTTCGAATGCAAAATTTATTTTCGCGATAATTGTGTCAGTTCCAATTAACTTGATGAAATCAATAAGTGATATTTGTTATGTCAAAGCGCCATATATCTATGCAGACATGTAATATTAAATGTTATGGTTGAAAACGAATTAATTCTTAGTAAATTTTAGTAATAAATCTTAAAACCCCAGTTACTAACAAGTGAAATCAACTTTTATTGTGAAAAATAACTCGACCCGGCAAACGTTGTTTTGCTATATACATTATTTCTAGGAATCAGTTTTTCAGATGGATATATTCATCAACACACTATTATTATTATTTTATTTTCTACATAATTTCAGTTTGACAATCTATGAAGAAGTGTTTCTTTGGTTTTTCTAACTGCCATTAATTTTCTACTCCTTCTTATAATTACGAAACTCGTCCGCCACATTGAATTCGCCATCTTGAATTGAATTTCCTAATTTTGACGAAGAAATCATAATCCCCGATCACTTAAACCTCTAGGTACTAATTTTGAATAGAATTGAATTATAATTACAAAACTCTTCCGCGATATATTGGTTCCGCCATCTCGAATTTCCAAATTCTGCCCAAATTTCACGGAATTTCCACGGACAAAATCATAATCTTCGACCCCGAAAACCCCCAGATACCAATTTTGAATAGAATCAAATGATAATTACAAAACTCGACCGCTATATTGGATCCGCCATATTGAATTATCTAATTTTGACAAAGGAATCATAATCTCCGATTCCGAGAATCTCTAGATACCAATTTTGAATAGAATCGAATCATAATTACAAAACTCGACGGCTATATTGGATCCGCCATATTGCATTTTCTAATTTTGACAAAGGAATCATAATCTCCGATTCCGAGATCTCTAGATACCAATTTTGAATAGAATTGAATCATAATTACAAAACTCGACCGCTATATTGGATCCGCCATATTGAATTTTCTAATTTTGACAAAGGAATCATAATCTCCGATTCCGAGAATCTCTAGATATCAATTTTGAATACAATCGAATCATAATTACAACACTCGCCCGTCATATTGGATCCGCAATATTGAAGTTTCCAATTTTCTGGAAGGAACCATGATCTCCGATCGTGGTCGGAGATTACCTATGATTCGTCAAAACTAGGAAATTCAAGATGGCTGATCCCATGTGGCTTTTATAGATAGCCAAACTAAAAAGTAGTAGAAAATAAAATAATATTAGTGCGTTGATGAATATTCAACTGAAAAACTATTTTCTAGAAATCAACACTAATATTTGATTGTTTGTTTCTATGTATAGGCGGCTCGGTGGTCGAGAGCGTTAAGGCGCTGAGTTCGTATGGGGACTCTCACCGAGACCTAGGTTCGAATCCTAGTTAGGCCATGGATGTCTGTGTTTGTATGTATACCTAACCCCGCACAAGTTTCGACTTATGGGGCGTTTGGTCCCAGTGCTGGGACTAACGAGGTATGCAATTGCGAAATTGCGAAAATGTATTAAATAGGGTCCGAAATTACTGGACCGATTTCAATAGTTATTTTTGTATCTAGAGCGCGAAATGCTACTTTGGTGATCGAGATCTCATTTTTTTAACGAGGCGTAGCCGAGTTAAAAAATTGTCGAGATGACCAAAGTATTTCGCGCTCGAGTTGCAAACAAAATTTTTTCTCCAAACGTCAAAAAATATAGTTCTAAAGTAAAAATATGCTCAGCTTGATATAAAAAACTGTGTTGAGCTGGCTTAGAGGGCCTCCCCCTATACTCCCTAGGTACGCACGATGGTCCACGAACATAATAGGAATTTCCTTTCGTGCGCTCCAAGAGATAAATCAAAGTTATTGTTGAACATTCAGAGATAAATGATTTCGTGGATTTTTGCTCGATTAAGGACCATGAAGTTGAAATATAAATATCTCATATATTTTATATAACAATGCGCGAAGTAGGTACTTCGCGCACTGTTTTACTTCGCGCATTGTTTTGTGCAAGGTATCATGGTAACGTAGGAAACTGAAAAAAAGTGTCACTTCGCAATTTGTTGTCAATGCGCGAACCTTGTCATTTTTTGACGTTCGTAGAAAAAAATATATTCACCATTACAAGCCGACGAACATAGGCTACTTTTTACCGCGAGATAATGTTTCATTCCTATACATATACGGGAAAATGAGTAATAGCACAACGGCTAGTAAGAATTATCCTTCCTTACTTATCTTTTTCACATAACTTCTAAACGGCGAACACGTCAATGGGCTGAACCGATAGGGCTGAAATTTTATATGGGTATTTCGAAGGTTTCCTGGATGATTTAGAAATACAATTGGACGCGGTAGGTGGCTCTGCTGTCGGTACGTCAACTACTATACGGCTTGACCGATTGGGTTGAAATTTTCAATACGTAAAACAACAAAAAAATACAAGAGATACTGAGAGAATGAAAATAGGTGTCAGTCGATTTTTTATTTATTATTCAATTATCATTCCATCAATTTCAATAAAACGTTGTGGTTTTGTTGATAGTAACATGGAGCTTCTTCTGGTGCAATTACATTCAAAATGATATTTCCAGTGGCGTCACAGTGGGAAAATTCATCCATATTTATGGTAAATGTTATTGTACGCCACGGGTTTCATATTTTCATCAGATTGAACTATTGAAATAACAACTTTTTTATCCTTTGTGTGATTTCAGTATCTACATATACCGGGTGACACAGGCGACATGTAGCAGCCTGTAGTTTTTTTATTTGAAGAGATATAATTTTGAAATTCACAGGGGGTATATAATAAATGGTAGCGCACTTTACGAACTTAACGACAATTTTTTTCACCCACCTGTTCGACCGGAAGTGACCCCAACTTTTTTTTTTAAATGTCACCCTGTACATTTCTTCAGTGTATCTTTTTCGCCTTGAAATTCTCTACCCAATTATGTATCACAAAGTCGTTTCTCATTTCACTGTTGAATTGCTTATTATTCAAAAAGAATAAGTTGCAATTTTAATCATCATACAAATGAAGAAGAAAAATTATTGATGCAATCGATTAACTGTCAAACACATAAAACATTTTGTGTAGGTATTATGAAAAAATAGACTGATAGCCCTGTTGATCATCGTATAAGAGGAAAAATTTCAGTTTTATTATTCCAAATGGGAAGATCATGTGATAGGTACATGGCGAAAATGAAATACAGATAGTTTCTGTACGAGTAGCTGAATACGAAAAAATATGTTCCTATCTTAGATTCCTCAATATCATGAGTTATTTTCGGAGGTTTTCATCTTGACTCAAACAAGCTATTGACAACCTGCAGATATTGATCAGAATATCAAAACATTTTAAATAATATCGTTTCACTAATGATCTTCAAATTTCAAAGCCTACCAAGTGTCGATATATCATCAAATTCATGTTACAGCCAACTTATTCTTTTTGAATAAAAAGCAATTCAACAGCGAATTAAGAGATAAATGCCACTTTGTGATACATGGTTGGATAGAGAATTTCAAGGCGAAAAAGATAGACTGAAGAGATGTACAGAGTGACATTTAAAAAAGAAGTTGAGGTCACTTCCGGTCAAACAGGTGGTTGAAAAAAATTGCCGTTAAGTTCGTAAAGTGCGCTACCATTTATTATATACCATCTGTGAATTTCAAAATGTCATCTCTTCAAATAAAAAAGCTACAAGTCTCCTGTGTCACCCGGTATAGCTTTTTTTTTTGAGGAAACAAAGAAAATTCGATTTGACTCCAAATTTTACTGTAGGTGGCTTCAAGACTTCCATGCATTGAGATTACTCAATTATCCCAATCACAATCATTTTTCAAATTTTAGGGCTTCCTCAGTCTACAACCATACTGAATTTTGGCACCATGAATACAGGAAGGTTATAAATAAAAATAATTGATATTTCCAACTTCAACATCCTTTATCTCAAAAACAAAGCAAGTTAGGATACATGTTTATATGAACTTTATTTTCTAGATTATCACAAGAAATTGCCCCTTGAATTTTTTCGGTGTCATTTAGATACACTCTGTATAATAGTAGCTATAGGTAAGGTGAGCACAAGAAATGTAAGAAAATAACGAAAAAAATCTGCAATAAATGTCTTATTTTTTTAAAGTTGGTTATGGACAGTTGTCGAAAATATTCTTGCTGCTTGGGAGATAATAAGTGGCAATTACTCACGTGGATTTGAAATCTTTGATCGAGGATAAATCGAGCTTCTTCTTCACCATCTTCAAACCTGGAAGAATAATTATGCCGATAGGACGATCAGTGATATAAACGCTCGCACACATACGCAAATGTATAAATCAGATATCGAGATGCGTTATCAGATATTTCAAATACTATTTGTGTTATTGTCTGCGTTATTATTATTATGTAGGAAGTTAAGTGAATGTCGTGCAATGAAAATGCAAATAATGGCGATGGCTGAATGATCATGTGAGGTTGATTGAGGACGAACAATAATATGATTAGCATAATGATAATGTTAGCGACCCCATTGATGGACAAAGTCGCCTTTAGTTTTTGGGATAAGAGCTCTGAACCATAAATTCCAGTTTTTTATTGATAAATCCTTTGAATACCTACGTATAAGTAGGTAGGTAGTTTTCCATCTCCATCTCATTGTTAATATTTCATGACAAAGTCGCCGCAGTTATTACATTGATTTTCTCATTATTATAATTCACTGTTATTTGTCGATAGGTAAAAACAATGGAATACCACAAGTGTTACGTGATACAAAAAGAGACTGGTGGCTACATAATCATTAGAAGGTATACTCTTACTTTCCACACTGAGCCTACAATTCTCAAAGAAATAAGTATCCTTTTTTTCATGCAGAAATGTCGAAATAACTTTTTGTATGTAATGAGTTGCAAAATTAATGTCTTTTTGGCACGTCACGTGAAAATGTCCTATAAATAAGGCGAAGCCGAATTGAAAGGGAATGTGTACTTTTCCAATTGTAATTTAGAAAGCGTCAAGGGTAATTCGAACAATAACATTTGTGATTCAGTTTAGTTAATTGGAAATCAGAAAATATCAAATGTTATTCAGATTAGTCAATTGAAATTCAGAAAGAGACAATTGTAATTCAGATCAATGTATTGAAATTCAAAAAGCGGCAATTGAAAATATTGAAATTCAGAAAGTGTCATTTGTGATTCAGAATGTATCATTTGTAGTTCAGAACGGGTCAATTGTAATTTAGACTACGTCATTTATAATTCAGATTAGTTTATTGAAATTCAGAAAGTGTAAGTTGAAATTCAGATTAGTCAATTGGAATTCAGAAAATATCATTTTCAATTCAGATTGGTCAATTGATATTCAGAAATAGTCCATTGAAATTCAGAAAGCCATTTGTAATCCAGAAATATGAAACAGTGTTACCTTTGCTTGTGGAGCCAAAAGCGTAATGAATGTAGGTAATTAATTACAAAGCAATATTCATTTCGGAAATTACGTTTTCTAATATAACTTCCCCATTTTACTTAAAAATTGATTTCAATTGACCATCAATGAAAATAATTCCATAATTCTGAAGTCGCTGGTTCTACATGGAAACCTTCTTTAATCCATCAGTCTGAATTACAACTGACACATTCTCAATTACAATTGATGATATCTGAATTTCAATTGATGCTTTCTGATTTTCATTTGACTAATCTGAATTACAATTGAAGTTTTCTGAATTCCACTTGTCTAATCCGAATTACAATTGATATTTTCTGAATTCCATGTTACTTATCTGAATTACAAGTTACAAGAAACGTAGTCTGAATAACAATTGTTGCATTCTGAATTACAAATGAAGATAATTATCCGAATTTCATTTGACGCTTTCTAAATTTCAATTGAAAAATCTGATTTACATGTGAAGTTTTCTGAATTTCACTCGACTAATCTGAATTGCAATTGATAGTTTCTGAATTTCAATTAGCTAACCTGGACTACAATCGACACTTTCTGAATTTCATTTGAGAAATCTGAATTACAATTCACGATTTCTGAATTACAATTGAAAAAGGTGTAGTGCGTGGTGAATCTCGGTCGTCATAAAACTCAATGACGATCTGAAACTCACTAATTTGGTATGTAAAAAAATATATCATCGATAAAATGACTGAGACAAAACCACTAGCAGAAATGATGTAGGAACTTGACTCATGCATTCCAATCAATGAATTCCAATAATCATTGAAACGTCTCTTGCTTATCAGGGTCAATAAATTTGGGAATATTCAAGAGAACACATGCGAATAGCAACTATAAATCGGTAGTGTTGGTGTGTTGATATCGGAAAGGCAATAATGTCGTCCAAATGTAGTGAACTAATCAAAATAATTATTATTAAAAAAGTGCAATTATTATCTTAATGGTTCTTCGCTTTTATTAGTATCTTAATCATTCGTTTGAATTCCACTGTATACAGGGTGTTACAAAGTCGTGGCTAAGAATGGGGATCTTGGTAACCTTGAGAGATACAGAGTAGGTTGAATCATGGCAAAGTTGCACTATTTCACGCTCAACAAAATGCTGCTTTGGAATTGGAAAAATTTCAATTATTTCCGGAGGTATCCGGAAAAAAAGGAAAATTGGTATTAGTATTGGTAGGTTGGATGGTGATAGAGGCGCTGCGACCTTATAAGATCTATTGAACCCCATCTGCTTCTGCTATATCAAGGATTTCTTGTTCACAGCAGCCCCTCAAGATTCAATTCCTTCAGGAATTTGAGGATTTTGAGGGGGTCTAGCTGTGGTATTTCTTCCACAGTCAGCTGGTGTGTTTCCAGTTTGTTCAATCTTTTGTGATGTACAGCGTCAGACTCCATCAGTATGTGATGGGGTGTTTCTGGTTCTTCCTCACAGAATCTGCAGGTACCGTCCTCCTGTAAGCCTAGCTTCCTTAGGTGTTCTTTGAGTCTGCAATGTCCCGTTAGAAATCCCGTTATTGCTTTGAGGCTTTCTTTGCTGAGATTTGTCAGTGTCTTAGATCTTTCTCGGCTGAAATTTCCAAGGAGATCTTCAGCCTGCCGTAGTCCTGGAGGTCTTCTCCAGTCTGGCTCTTCAGGCTCCTTCCGCCTTCTCAAGTTCTCCTTGGAAATAGGAATTTCCAAAGCCGCAGAATGGCTCTGGTCCGATCAGTGGCGTTGAAGCCCCTTGTCGTTCCAGAGTGTCTGCTGGTTCATTCCCCCCCACTCCAATATGCCCTGGCACCCAGAGGAGGATCACTTTATTGTTGCTGCCTAGCTTATTCAATTTGCTTAGGCATTCCCATACCATCTTCGAGTTGATGTAAGGAGAGCTCAACGCTTTGATGGCTGCTTGGCTATCGGATAAAATCGCGATGTCCTTCTTCCAGTATTTCCTGTCTAGGTTGAACTGGATGCATCTTCCTATGGCGTGTATTTCCGCTTGAAAAATGCTGGGGAATTGTCCCATGGATTCGAAGTATTTGGTGCGAGGCCCAAAGACTCCTGCTCCAGTTTCCTCAGGTGTTTTAGACCCGTCCGTATACCAAGCAATGGTGTTTCTTCCCAGTGATTCGATGGATTCTATGCTCCATTCGCGCTTGTTGCTCAGCTCCACTCGGAAGTTCTTCTCAAAACTCAACTTCCTAATGATTTGGTCTGTTGGAAGATCGGCGAGGTGTGTGATCTCAGTTGGGGGTGAGCCCCTTGCACTGTTTTCCCCCTTAGGAAAATATGCAAAGTCGTTTCCATTTATCACTCAGGTTGAAAAATCCAGGTCCGTATTTCAAAAAAATGAAGTTGATGATGGCCGCTCGAAGAAGAAACGTCGAATTTCCAATGTAGAGGAGAAAAGTTAAAAGGACATTCATTTTGAAATATCTCTTCAAATAAACTGAGTAATAAATATATAAAACGATTTTCCATATTTTCCGGATATCTCCGGAAATAATCGAAATGTTTCCAATTTCAAAGCAGCATTTTGTTGAACATGAAATGGTGCAACTTTGCCCTAATTTAACCTACTCTCGAGATCCCCATGCTTAGCCACGAATTTGTAACATCCTGTATGTATGTTATATTAAATGCTATTAAATCTTGGTACGTTCTCTTTCAAGATTACTACCGGCATGTCTTTCGATTTCGTCACTGAGGAAATCGATTTCGGTTCCAATAATTATTGTCATTATTATAGGATTTCAAAATAACATTTCATAGGTATGCCCAATCATTTATTGTGAAATTGACTATTTGAACAGTTGTTCTCTGAAAGTGAATAGAGAATGACTCCGGTAATAAAAATAAATGAAGAAGTGTTCATTGTCTTTTATAAAATACGTATATCAAAGAATGTTTGATGGATTTGTAATTATGTGTACACTGAATGTGTTAGATTAGAAATTACACAGGAAAAGTGTAGATGCAAATAAGTATCAATAACTTGATGGACAGAGTAGTTATATTCTGTCAACAGTATGACATCCATTAATTCACATATGAATATAAAGAGACCTCGAAAAAGACACACGTTACAAGTAAATGTGTATTTCCAACACCCTTCCTCAACGTGAGCTATCTTCAGTGAGTCCTATATCTTTCAAATGCTTCCCGAACTTATCCTTGAAAAGACCTTTAGTAATGCGTACTGGGCCCATAACCTGTTTGATTAGGAATTTCACAGGAAAACTGTAGATGCGAATATAATTATCAATAAATTGATAGACAGAGTAGTTATTCTGTCAACAGTATGACATACATTAATTCCATATCACATAGGGTGATATAGGAATATAAAAAGACCTCGAGATAGACATACGTTGCAAGTAAATGTGTATTTTCAACACCCTCCCTCAACGTGAGCTATCTTCAGTTAGTCCTATATCTTTCAAATGCTTCTCGAACTTATCCTTGAAAAGTCCTTTAGTAGAGCGTGCTGGGCCCATGACCTGTTAGATTGGAAATTACACAGGAAAACTGTAGATGCGAATATAATTATCAATAACTTGATGGACGGAGTTGTTATTCTGTCAACAGTATGACATACATCAATTCCATATCACATAGGGCGATATATGAATATAAAAAGACACACGTTGCAAGTAAATGAGTATTTCCAACAGAATGTGGAAATTGTACCTACTCAATGGGTTATAGTATCAGCTAATATTACCATATTTTTTTGTCACTTGTGAAACATTCTACAGGGTCCGGAAACAGGATTGAATGGTTTTGAAAAGGTTGATCTGGAGATACTGTTTATTCGACAAACGTCAAATAGTGATAGAATTGTAGTTTACTATTGAAGATTTTGTGTTACAATGGCGAATTGGCCGGTTAATCAACGGATCTTTGCAGTAAAATCATTTTTCCAATACTAGCTATAGATCTTACTACTATT